CTCACCCAGTTCTCCCAATTGCCATCAGCTGCCCCATGATATTTTCCTGAATCTCACTGAAGGTCTGTAATCTCTTTTCTCTCAAAGGTGATTTTAGTTTTGAAAAAAGCCAGAAATTGCAGGGTATCAAATCTGGGCTGTTGGGATCTCAGTCACCTGGGTGATTTGATGTTTTACCAAAAAACTCTGCAGAGGATGTGACACATGAGTGGGCACATTGTCGTGATGAAGCTGCCAATCACCAGCTGCCTGTAGCTGCGCCCTTCTGAATCATCCAAATAGCTTCTATGGAGAAATGTTCAAGCTTAACACAAATTCTGATGCAGATTCACTGCTTTACTTGCTCAGTCATTTTGAATGCTATGGCCACACAGTACACATGCTTCCTCAATGGCATCTACAGACCCCACTGACTAGTACAGGGAAGTTGTCATTGTTCACAATGCACATTCTAGTCCACGCCCCTTAGCTGTCAGGTCACATCGAAGCCAGGCAAACCGTTCTCATTATATTAACAATGACTGGACTTTTTCTGGACAGACCTTGTTTATTTGGTGGGGAGATGCAGGTGGTTGTTAACTTTTCTTTCAACTGGAGCAGGAGCATGTAGTGCTGCATACCCAGCTACCTGAATACAAGGCTGAAGCTGCCTCATTCCAAGTGGTTTTCTAAGCATCCTACAAATTATCTTCACTATTAACTTGCCACAGTATTTGAAAATCCCATTTCAGATTTCTCAAACACTTAAAAAGAATCATAGGCACCTTCTCCTCAGCTTATACTAATTCTTCAATGAAGTGTCACAGGAAGTGTGTGGGCTTTGACATCACATGTAGATAATTAATACCAGATCTTCCATTTGCTAATTGTGACACTTTAGATAGGCTAGTTACTTAATCACTTTGTGACTCCCCTATCAATACTAAGGGATATAAAAACATCTGTCTTATGTCATGGCTGTGATTCACAATGAGGCAATGCATAAAAACAACTAATTGTGAAAAGCTGTTAATATCCCCCCATTTCCTCAAAACATTTGCTCATGGAAAGGAAAATAATTTTTCATTGTTTAAAAAAACCTTTCCAGTATTTCAAGACCTAGTGTTTTGTTTTGTTTTCAGATAATGATGACAATTATACATCATTATGATTAAAATGAAACCACAATCTTCTTACACCACAATTTCAGGCATAAGCAATAACAAAAATTGTATCTTTGTAATTATAGTGAATTTGAAAGTTATTTCAGGCTCTTTTGACTGCTCAATTTCTCATGAAATAGAGTTTCCTAAATTAAAGGTTTAAGTTAAAAAAAAATAGCTTGATTACTAAAGCAACACTATGGTGCAAAAACATGGTAAAAATATATCTAGTCACTGTTCCTGCTGTTTCATCTAAAACCTATAGTTGTCTAACATAATAATTTATTTATCTTCAATTAAACCTATGCATTAAAATAAATTTAATGAGGATTCTAAACAATTTAACCAGTCAGAAAAAAATTATTACCAACCTGTTTAATGAACAAGTACATAAAATCATAGCATTCTAGAACCAAAAGAAATTCTTAAGATTATTTGATTAAACTTCTTTTAAGGGTTTGGAAGCTACTGAGTCAGAGGTTTCAAATTAATGGGAGCTGTATAAGTTTATTCTGCTTAAACCTCGTAGACTTGATTGTTGTCAATCAACAATTAACGATTGCCACTGTACCCAGTTGCACTGTACAGTTGTTCAAGGGACCAACTATTCAGAAATGAGAAAATGCACAGAATCTTTCATTTTCATTAGCTGTAAATGGCCTTCTAACATCCCACCTAAGTTTAAACTTCCTAGTGAATTTTCTGTAAATGTATACGGTTTAGTCAGCTTAAAATTATTTTTTAGGATTTTATTTATTTATTTTTAGAGAGAGGGAAAGGGAGGAAGAGAGCAAGAGAAACATTGATGAATTGCCTCTCATATATACCCTAGTCAGGGACCAAACCCACAACCCAGCCAAATACCCTGACTGGAAATCGAACCAGTGACCTTTCGCTTTGCAGTACCAGGCCCAACCAACTGAGCCATACAGGTCATGGCAGTCAGCTGAATTTTTTAATTTAAAAGTACACTCTCAAAAAGCCCAGTCCTTAAGTTATAAAACACAAAGTTGGCCTATAGGTTTAAGGCAGTATTCAGTAAACTAAAGGTCCATAATTTTAAGGGAGTTGAAGGTTTTTTAAACACCTTGAGTCCAGTCAGAGAAAAATTAAGATGAATCATCTGTTTAGGCTGGAATCTCATAGATTAGTTGTACACTTAAGAAAATAAGGTAAGGGAAAGATAAACATTTCCTTCTAGGGAGTCAATCTAGTTCAGTGGTTCTCAAAGAATGGTCTCTAGACCAATAGTATCAGCATTACCTGGAACCCTGCTAGAAATAAAGAGCTATGAAATCAGAACCCTGGGGATGGAGCCCAGATATCTGTTTCAACAAGCCCTCCAAGTGATTCTGATTTGTGAACCACTGGTTTAGTTCATCAAAGTAGAGAGGAAAGTAGATCTTAAGGGCAGAAACAGTCCAGACATAAAGACTATACATTTCTCTGGAATAAACTTTGAGTTCTATGTCTTAGAAATCTGAGTGTAGAAATTAGGTACAAAATAATAAATTCTAATAGTAGGCATGTCTATTTAACTATATAATCTATATGACTATGTAACAGAATATTTTGTGTATATAATAAAAAGTATATAAAATAGAACATGTAATATATAACACTATATTGATATCTTAATTTTTATTCTAGTGAAAAATAAATAGTAACAATATAATTTACATTTATAAAAGTTTTATTTATATTTAACTCACTCTCACTTGCTGAGTAGACTTTATCATTAAATCTAGGAGAAAATTGTACCAGGAATTAATATCCGACTTTATAGATAAGGAAATAGAGGCTTAAATAGGGTGATTTTCTTAAGTACACATGGCTCCTGAGTAGCTGGAATTCAAATACAAATTTCTTAATTCAAGATAAGGATTTTTCCCTGTATCATGCAGCACTGTCTTTTAATATGAAGTTTTTTTCCAATTTTAAAATTGTGGTAAAATACACATAAAATTGATTATCATGTATTTTAAAAGAAAATTATTAAAAAGCATAATAATAAAATATTCAAAGATACTTCCATTCTACACTAGAAAAATCAAGAGACATACTGATTAATTTTTTTTCACTGACATCTTCTGTCCTTTGAATTCAGCAGGTACCCTGCAGATGACTTGTTCTGGGTAAGGATACTAATCTTTGTACTCCTCCATATTTCTCACTATGTAAGTATCAAGAAAGCATGTCTTTAAGCTACAGCACATCAAATCTTAAAATGAATATGACAAAGATAACAAACAGGCTGATCAATGCAACAAGAACAAGCACAGTAGAAATAAATGCTTAGAAAATACACAAAAATTTACTGAGAAGCAGAGATTTGTGTCAGGCTATTTCTACAACAGACCAGCCTAGATATTCTATCCCTTTGTCATCTCAATGGTTAAAAGTACCCTTTTAAAAAATCTATTCCTGCCTTATCAAAATATACTCTTGAACGTTCTAGCAGGAAATGCACTTGGCAACTAGCTCACTCAGCAGAGAGCTAATCTATCTAATCTTAAGAGATTTCAGTAAACACGCACACATCCTTTTCTAGTGGTTCTCCAATGTTCTCTCTACCAAAATAACCTGCATTAGGGTTTGAGGACTTCCTACACTGCTCTGAAAACATTACAAAGATTATCAAAACGATTACTAAAATTCAATCTAGAGGTCACTTTATATTAAGGCCAAGTGTGGATTCTGCATTAGAAATAATGTTTAATAAAAGCCATTCACCATTGTAATGTATGTCAATTACCTCAAAATAAAGTCATTCTTAATATTTTTTGAGAATTTACAAAAAGGAGATAAATCAGTATTTAGAACTATACAGGAACACATGTCCTCTAGGAACTAACATTCTTTTATTCAAATTTGAAAATAATACGTATCAGCAAAACTCACACATAGCAAAAGGGCTTAACTTCGATGTCATCTTAATTTTATAATTTTCTACCTTTTTCCTAAAAAGAGCATGAAGAGTATAAAAATAGGTGCAACATTTTGAATTTCTAATTGTCCATCAGTAAGAGACTCGTTAAATAAAATAAATGTGTATTCACTCAATAAAATATTATGCCAATTTTTAGTACTGCTATGTAATGATTTCCAAGATCAGGTGCAAAACAAAACATGGCGCAGAACAGTGTATATAATATACTTATTTCTGTAAGACTGGGGAGAAACTCCTATAATATATATAATTACTTGTATACATAAAGAATATCTCTAGAATGACATGTAAGAAACTAGTTACATTGGCTGCATCCAGGGAGGGAAAGAGGGCAGGTATTACCTTTGCCTTTTGAATTAGGTACCATGTCCAAGTATTATTTTTTTCAAGAAAGAAAAAAAAAACTCCTTACTTGGATTATCCCTATATTGTATAGCCAACTCATGTTTTAAGCTCATTGCTTCTTTTCTGGCATTATATTATCAATATGTAACATTTTATCAAATCAATACTCACTTAGTAGTGGGTCCCTAAGCTACATGGCTTCTATGTATTTTTATTTATGACAACATTTAAAAGGACATTAAAATAAAATTGCTTGCAGATTCCAAAGCTGTCATGTGGAAAGAAAGCTGAGATCTAAAAGTGTTTTCAAAAGAGACCATACGAGAAACCTAATGTCCTAGTTAATATTTTCCTCAATAAAAAGTCTTATCTCTTAGATGAGGTTTTGTGTCATCTTTAATAGTCACATTCCTATGATTACCAAGACCTACTATTTCCTTCTGCAAAGTGTAACAGGATGTACAGATTTTTTATAAAATTAACTCAATAAATATTACGTGCAGATTCTTTCTTATGAAGAAAACAAAGAGAATAAAACAGAACAAACACATCCACACTCCTACCTTCAAAAATTTCTCATTGGTCAACAGTGCAACTTGTTTTTCTGCAGCTTGCTTTTCCACGTACCTAAAATATTTATCATACCATACACAAAGATAGTTAATAATGTTCTAAATATTTGACTAGCATATGGTGAAAAAGAAATATCTGGATTGGAGGCTCACATTCATTTCTTTTCAACAGTAAATTCAAGGTGACAGTTATGGTTTATGGTAATTTTTAACTCCTTAAGTCAGCCACAGTTCACAGTCTAGGGGGTCTAATCATAAACAAAGAACAGACACTCCAGAAATAGAAAATGTTACTTATATAAAGCAACTCTGGAGAAGCTGTAAATTATGTTCTCTTGTACAAATATTTTTCTTTATGCCAAATTTTCAAATCCAACAAAGAAATTTCACAATTAAAAACAGAAGAATTTTGCTCTGGCTGGTGTGGCTCAGTAGACTGAGCACCAGCCTATGAACCAAAAGGTCACCAGTTAAGATTCCCAGTGAGGGCACATGCCTGGGTTGCAGGTCAGGTCCCCAGCAGGGGGTGTGCAAGAGGCAACCACGCATTGGTGTTTCTCTCTACCTCTTTCTTCCTCCCTTCCCCTCTCTAAAATAAATAAATAAAATCTTTTTTTTTAAGAATTTTAATATCTAAAAAATTAAAAGGTTATTTTTCCTTTCTCCTCTTAAAAAATAACTGTAACTGATGTACTTTATTTTGCCCCAAACTCTGGTATAAGATATATTAAATATGTACTTTTTTTTACCTCCTAAATGATGGAAGACGTCGGATGTTTTCACATTGATTATCTGATAAAAAATTTATTCTTCTTTTGGCTTCTGGGAGATTACAGCACAGAACACTGAGGGGTTGGGAATAGAAATGCTCTAATAGAGAGAGCTGAAAAAAATGTAAAGAGTAAATATATTTGTTATATTTTAGCAGTAATCTTCTGCTCAATTTTAAGGATTTTTTTTAAACAACAAAAGTATTTATGACACTAATATACTTTATAACGTTGTAATAACTGCAAATGATACATAAATGGCTATATACCTAAGGCCCCATGGATGTCAGAATATTATAATCTCTGAAGTATAAACTAAAAGAAACTAATATAAATGGATAAATTAGCTATTTCCAAAAGTATCTTACTTACAGAACAGTAAATATGGTAGTGACTGGACTGGGGTATGACCTAAGGTTCTAATTAATGTCCAAAAACTCAGAAGAAAATACCAGTCTAAAGTCCATATGAAAACTGGTCTGCTAAAAAAATAAAAGTGTTACAATGGTAGAAGCTTTGCCTACTCATAAAAAGAACAGTGAAAAATGAGGATGGCTAAAGGAAATGTATCTTTTTAAACTCAATTTTACTTCATGGGAGAACACATAATATAATATCTGCTAGATACGAGTATTCTAGTAACTAGAATGCGGTAGCCTCCACAGTATAAGTGAGAATGATTTTCTAGATTCTATCATAACTGGTAAGATCTTTCTTCTACCTCTCCAAATGTTAAAAACTTTGACTCTAAGTAACCTTCACATGACTAGTTTGGTTTTTCCAGATACCCTGCTTGATACTGGAGAGACAGTTCCCTACATAGCAGACAAAACACATTCTGATCCCTGGAAAATATCACTCTGCAGCACAATTTAATGAATTAACATTCTAATTTATGTATCATCCTTAAGGTATTTGAGCTTGATCCTTCCTGTGCAAAATGATAATTTCTGAGCCTACAAAGCTAAGGATCAGAAACCCAAGGCTAGAGGGAATCCTCCAAAATAGTCCCTTCTTGAGGAACTGTAAGGCTGTAAGGCAAAGGGCCAGCTTAACTTAGAAACAAGCACAAATCAGAAAGCTATTATTCATGCCAGTGCTAAATTATCTTTACATATATTAATATAATCTTATTTCTTATATTTTTCAATTACATTAATGTGATAATACTTATTCTAAGGTTAATACCACTTTTTAAACATGAGAAAAGTAAAAATCAAACATGTTAAGGGAATTTCTGGGGAGGAGAATGGGAGCAAATCACATGAGCTATAGTAAAGCTATAAATGCATTAAGAATCCAGTGTCACTTAACTATTTTGTCCAAGTGTGTTCTCAGTATCTGGGTCAATTAATAAGTTGGTAACATATCCACCTAATGTGGGAAGGACTTAAACATATGCAGAATGATCATATACCCTATTGTAGCTGCTACAAAAATCAGGACTTACATTTCACACCAATTTGGAAAACTGGACAAATGGGATCTAAATGTTCTGCCACTTCATAGTTATGTGCACTTGGCCAAGTTACTTAACCTAAGCCTACTTTTTCATGTGTAAAACTGAGGGTAATAATACATATTAATGAAACAAAGAAAATACTTAGTAAAGTGCCTAGCACAAAGGAGGTGCTTAGTAAATTATCAGACACCTATAAAATCATCCAATCTTATTCCCCTTATTTTACAGATGAGAAAAATGGGACCTAGAGATTAAGTACTGGGTTAACGTCCTTTTTTTTAACTCATTTTTTCTAAGGTATTTGAGACTACAGTTTATATTTCCTAAAACTCTTTCTTCCCTTCACTTGTGATATTCCGCTTTCTACTGGCTTTCCTTTTTGTTTTTAGTCTCCTTTTCTATTGCTCATTCTTGTATGTCAGTTTGCCTGAGGGTTCTACCCTTACTGCTGACCTCCTTCCTCTGCTTTGATGTCTCATCTACATTACATGATTTCAACTATCTTTTAATGATAAATCCTAAGTATTTCTAGTCCAGATTTTTCTCCTCAGTGCCAAATCTTTATATCCAACATACCCTAAATTAGCCTATTCTAAAAGAAACTCACCCTTTTCTAACAAACTGACTTTGATTTATACATTAACATGTATATTTAATAAATGCTATCAACCTCCAATCCATCTGCCCAACTACGTTTGTATTTATCACTTGAGCTCCTCTCTTACACATTTTATCATCCACTTAGTCACCAAGTTCTGCTGATTCTATCTCATCCTCAAATTTGTTTCCTCCTCTCTAGTCCCACTATCACTACCTTAGTTTAGCCCTTGTGATATCTTGTCTAGATTACTGCGATAGCCCTTTGATAGCTCTATCTCCCTCTATTGCTGCCTTTGCTTGGAATGCTCTTCCAATTCTGACCTGGCCAGCTCTTCTGCCTTAGGATACACTTCTGTTCTATAGAATCTCCAGGGACGTTTCTTTCATAGCACTGACTCAGAAATATAAATGTATGTTTACTCTTCTGCCTCCTTCATTAAGCAATGAGTAATATGAAGGCAGACATTTCTTTGTCCTCTATATCTCCAGGGCTCAACATAAGTGTTTGGTTTTCAGTATGCTCTTGATAAATACTTATGAGTAAATAAAAAATAAGAAGTAAATTAGAAGTTGTTACAACTCAATATCACTGAATCTCACATATTGCTAAGGTAAATATTTTCCTGCTTTAAAATACTTTTTAAAAAAATCTAAATTGAGCCCTGGCTGGCTGGCTCAGTTGGTTGGAGCGTCTTCCCATACATCAATTGATGTTTCTTTCTCACATTGATGTTTCTCCCTCTAAAATCAATAAACATATTCCTGGGTGAGAATTTTTTTAAAAATCTAAATTGAAAAAAAAAAAGACATATGTTAGCCATAACAGACCACTACAGTGTTTTACGTGAAAGAGGAGTACCTATAGAAAGTAATTTATAATCATCTAGGAACTACATAAATATAACGTATTATATTTCACTTTTATACTAATATATAGGTTTTAATCAATTTAACAACTGACTTGTGCTCACAATGACTACACTTTACTAAGGTATATTGTTTTAAACAACAGAATAATGGGGTCCGTTTTTAGTTTAGAACGAATGTTGGTTATGAAGGTAGGTTCATGAATTTTTTCTGTCAATTCATGAAACCTTAGTAAAACTATGTTCTCAATGTATAAGAATAAGTATAAATGAACACACACGTACATATGTACAGAAGACAGCTAGTTATAACTCACAGCCTATTTTTATATGGCCCAGGAATGTTTTTTAAATCTTTAAAGGGTTATTTTAAAAAAAGGGGGGAATATTAAGAATATGCAACAGACCACACGTAGCCTGTAAAGTAAAAAATATTTAGTATCTAGTCCTTTACAAAAATAGTTTGTTGACCTCTTATATATAACATTTCATAGGTAATAAGTCTGTCAGCTTTCATCAGATTCTTTAAAAAAATTTCCTTTTCCTTCCCACTTCCCCTAACATGGTTAAAAATCACTGGAATGGAGGGAGGCCTTTTTTCCATTTTAATATCCAATTAATGTATTCTCTTTATTTTTGTTGCAAGGTAACAAAGCAATGGTAAAACCTAGAATAATATAACTTGAATTTACTTATTCTAGAGTTTGCCATTTAAAATGCCGTAACTATCACACTAGTCAGTTTGAAATAACATGTATGGAATCAGAAACCTGTGAATTTTCAAACCCATTACTGCCTTCTTACCTGAAGTCCTTTTATAAAGTTCTGAATTGAAAAATCGTAATACAAAAAAATGCTGATCAGAATCTGTAACACTTTTTCACTCAGCTTAAAGGGAAACTGAGTTGTAAGAAGTAGCTGAAAGAGAAACAGGGGGCAGGACACACTCCTTGTTAGTCTTTATTCTTCATAAATATGAAGTATAAATAATGAGGCAAAGAATGAGACTATGACACTAACTATGAAAGCTATAAGAGCTAGGTTTTTCTGATCAAACATCAACTAAACTTTTAAGTTAATTTACACAACAGTAAAAATAACAAGGAAGCTATTCATATTCAAACTACATGTTTGGAATCAAAGATATTCATCATCCTCTATCCAATTCCTAATATTAAAAAATACTGCCCAGCTATCAACTATACAACCCCCATTCTCCCATCAGAAGCCACTAGAGAAGCTTCAGGCTTTTGCAAGTCTTGTTATCTGATTTCTTTGATCCCTACTGACACACAATAATGAACAGTACACATTATATACTATTATGTGAAAACCCCCAAATTAGCAAATGTCTATTTAAAAAATATAAAATAGCTGCATCTGTACTATTTAGCTAATTTTCAATGGTCAACAGTGAAGATATTACAACAGAAAATGAAGTCATGCTAGGCTTTTTAAACAGAAGCATGGTTATAGAATACCAACTGAACTTGGCTTAAACCAAGCAATTTTAAATTTTAAATACTATAGCTGGAAAATTTTTCCCTAAAGTGTCAGCAAACCAATGGATACCACCTTTATGGGGAAAAAAAATGTAGAAGTGGTTAATAAATAAAGAGAAGGTTGTCATTAGTTTATCTGACACGAGCAACATAAAGCATATCTTAAAGAAACAGAGTCTAGCAACAATCTGTAAATCTTTAGTATTGACCTAAATACTAAAGATTGTACTCTATTTAGGTAGAAACAGAATCTATGATCTGGGAAAATGTCATCACACGACAAGAAAGAGTTCACTAAAAACTTCAAATCATTTAATATTAAATGCAAGAGCCAAAACATTGTTATTGTTACCAGGAGGTCATTAAATTTTACATTCTGTAAAAATTTTTCTTAAAAACCAACACCCTGACTGGTGTGTCTCAGTTGGTTGGGCGTTGTCCTGCAAAGCAAAACATTGCCGGTTCAATTCCCAGTCAGGGCCTGGGTTGCAGGTTTGGTCACTAGTCAGAGTGTGTACGAGAAGCAACCAATCAATGTTTTTATTCCTCTCTTTCACCTTCCTTTCCCCTCTCTCTTAAAGACAAAAAACAAAAAAAAAACTTCCATTTAGTAATAAATGGATTCATTGATAGCTATAGATTGATATCATTTTTTAAAACTCTTGTATTTTATCTTATATTTTCATAAATATTTACACTTTAGGCAATACTATACCACCGTAAAAACCATTATATAAAATATTAGAACATGTGAAGGAATATCTGGTTCAATATCATACTTTGAAAAGATGTAGAAATTTATCATTAACATTTATATTTATAATCTATTTTTGGCAGTTTTATTTTCATACTATTTCACTGTTAAATTCTTTTCTTTTTACCTTATCAAGTACTGTAGTCAGGTGCTCCTTGCAAGACAAAGATTGGAATATTTCTATACACAATAGAGATGATACTGCATGAGGAAGCAACCGATGGATGATAATAGGAGATGTGGCAATTCCAAAAATGAGTATTAGTGGAAATTCATGTAGATGTTGACTAGTTTAAAAAAACACACAAAAATGGGATTTCTTTAACATATTTCAATGCATCATATTTCACAATAAGACCTTTTTTTTATGCCTGCTTTAAAAGACATTGGTAAGGAGTATCATTCTAGAATACCAAAAGTTGCTAGGTCACTCATTTTCCTGTTAAAGTAACATAGAAATAGTTGGTGCATGGGACAACAGTCAACTAACTGAGCCACGTAGGCAGGGTTGAAAACGATTGATTCTTAGCATTAACAGTAGGAACACAAATTACTTCCACAGAGTGAAACAATACTCCCTTTGAGGGCTATGCAGGTCCGTCCTGTGTACCCTGGCTGATGATTTTGCTAGCTCCTTCCCGTTAGCTACTGCTTTTCATATCCTAGCTGTACACAGATCTACCTTCATAGGAATAAAGTGCCTGAACTTTGTTACTATTTTAAGTTTCTTTTCCTAACTTCTGATGGTAAATGTAGTCACAAGTCTGAGCTCTATAAAAGACGAGCTTTCCTGTCACTATTCTGTACTATGTGCATTTTTCCAGCATGCTAAGCAGTTCAGTATCAGCATTAAGAAAAGTCTGAGGATCTAGAAATCTTAGTTTAAAAATGGGGGAAAAAAGACACTATCGAACTAGGAATAGTAAGTATATTAGTAAATTATAACAATATAGCTTTAAGGCAAATGTAGCCATAACTTTTTTAAAAGACTTTATTTTTTAGAGAGAGGGGAAAGGAGGGAGAAAGAGAGGGAGAGAAACATCAATGTGTGGTAGTCTTTTGCACACCCGCAACTGGTGGCCTGGCCCGCACCCCAGGCATGTGCCCTGACTGGGAATCAAACCGGCACCCTTTAAGTTCACAGGCCTGTACCCAATCCACTGAGCCACACCAACCAGGGTATCCCATGGATGCATTTTAAAGATATAATTTGTTTTCTTCTGTCTGTTAACTTGCTTCATAGTTATATCTAAAGCCCTGACTGGTGTGGCTCAGTGGATTGAGTGCAGGCCTGTGAACTTAAAAGGTCACCTGTTCGATTCCCAGTCAGGGCACATGCCTGGGGTGCGGGCCAGGTCCCAGTTGTGGGTGTGCAAGTGGCTACCACACACTGATGTTTCTCTCCCTCTCTCCCTCCATTCCTCTCTCCCTAAAGTATAAAAATAAATAAAATCTTTAAAAAAAATTAAAATGTACCATGGGTAATGCCTGTTACTGGATTTAAAAATAAGAGTTAGTTACTTCAATTCTGAGTCTCACAGGATTGCCTTAAAGATCCAATGAGATCATGGAAGCAGATCCTCATTATATAATTTTTTTAGAAAATACTCTTTCTCAGTAGAGCTAACACAAAACTTCTAAGGGTGGCTAGTTAACAGAAAATAAGATCCCACAAAAATATCTCAACCTTCAGTAGTTTATATATTTAATGGGCAAGTAAGAGAAAGACAACCTTGGTGAAAAAAACTATATTCTATACTGCCTTATCATGCTAATTTAAAATTGGCTAATTTTTGTCCTTCGATTCTCATTCTTTGGTCAAAAAGCAAATGAAAATCTGATAGGAGGTCTTTGAACATTTAATTATAAGGAATGTGAAATCATCTTGGTTTCAATATATTTGGTATTAAAATAAGGATTAAATTGCCATTTGTTTTCTCTGAAAAAAGGGTTTTTTTAGGTTAAACACTGTATGTTTTCTCAATCAAAGAAATTTTGCACAAAAAACAGGTGATACATCATCTACCTGCTGATAATTATGAAGTCTTGTAGTACTTTTGTGGTGAAGCTTTCCATATCCTTTAAGATAAGCACAACAGGAGGAGACTGCCACTGGCTACAAGTAGTCCTCTTTTTCCCTGGCTTTCCTGGGTCTGTCTTCTTTTAAGCCATTGTGGAAAAAAGGAGTTAGAAGTAAGCCTTACCAACCAAATAACGCTGTACATGTAGATCTAGCTCCCTTTACATTTCACACTAACTGGTTTTTTATTTCTCCCACATAATAAATAGAAACTCATTCTAACAATTATTAGCACAATCTTTCGGCCTAACATGGGAATAATAACCAAGAAGGTTCAGTAAAATCTGTAACTCACATGAAATATTTATATTTTCTGCTATGTGGAAAAAATGACAAAGAAAGCATGGGATAAGAGAACAATCTCTATAAAATTGAATTTTCTGTTGGTAGAATGTCATAATTTGCTTTAAAGTAAGAACTAGCATTTTTAATTAAAAAGCACAATGAATAAAACTGCTTCACTACGGTAAAATTACAAGTTGAAAAGCGTCTTAAATATCACCTAGTCCAATCCCAAATCTTTTAAATTGCATGTAGCATTTGATTTCTATAAGAGCTAAAATTCTGGATCAAATTGAGATACTACAGTAAGCATTAGACCCAGTTTAATAACTACACATTGCAAAAGGTAACTTTACTTATGTTGACTTCAGCAAATATATTCATCAAAAAATATCAGTATTTTGTGCCATACTATCTGGCTACATAGCATCATAAACTAAAGTTGTGGTTTTACAGTGTAGTAACCCATGAATCACTAAGTTAATCATTTTCACCAGATTAATGTGGTAGAATGGAACTTCTTTTTATTTATCTGTTTGTTGAATAAACTTCACTTAAAGAGCATTTACTCCCCCAAAATTCTAAACATGGAACAAATCAGATTCTCAAAAATATCTATATATATGGCTATTTCTCATCAGACTAAGATGACAGTAGATACAACATGATTATATTAACATTATAGTCATTGTTACAAAGATAAAATCTGCAGCAGAACCAATTTCAGATGCTGTTTTTGTCACTAGATGACATTCTCCCACAAATAAAATGATCTTGTAGAAATCTAAACTTTTACCAGGAAGCAGGCTGCATACTGATAAAATAACAATTTTAAATTCTAGTAGCCTTAGGAAAAACAAGCAGCTACCATTAAATTAACAGCTAGTGCTGCATAAGCATATCCTTATTAGAACAAAACAAAACAATACTATGCTTAATATAAGTCCAGTCCTATTCAATCATATGCCAATTTCCTGGGAGAAAACTGTCAGTTTACATTTACCTGTGTGGCATTCATATACCAACTGGAAAGAGAATCCATTGAACAATGTGTCTTTTTCTGGATATCTTTTTCCTCCTCTTTGGATTCCACATCTACATGGCAGTACATCAACTGTGAGAACAGCTTTTGCAAAAAATGTTTCATATCTGCAGAATGTAAAAGGTAAGAAAGTTTATTTCCTCTTAAAACACTCTATTATAAAACAACTGAAACTTCTTGATCAGTAGATTACATTATTTGAGTAAAATGTGTTTTTCTTTTTTTTAATTAAGAAAAAACTTTTTTAAGATTTATTTTTAGAGAGAGAAGGGAGGGAGAAAGAGAGGGAGAGAAACACCAATGTGTGGTTGTCTTTCTCATAGCCCCTACTGACCTGGCCTGCAACCCAGGCATGTGCCCTGACTGGGAATCGAATCAGCAACTCTTTGGTTTATAGCCCTGGCACTCGATCCACTGAGCCACACCAGCTGGGGCTATAATGTGTTTTTGTACACTTAACATTAACTAACATATCATTTAACATATTGACTATTATTAATGTTCATTAGTATCTTCTTAATATTTAAATATCATTAATTGATACTAACACTAGGCCAAACTTTGTGTGTACTGTCTATAATAAAAATGTTACCTAAACAAATGTATAAATATAAAAACTACTAATTATATAAAGAATAATACATATTTAAATTATTTCTGGACAGCAAAATATTTTTAAGGCCCCTAAAAAAGATTAAAAGTGTTATTTACACAAGTTATTTTACTGATTACAAATTTTCCTTAAATTCATTTTAAAGATGTCCTAAGGGCTTTTACTTAACTCCAATCAGTTTATGAATATGAAAGTAAAGAAAGCACATAAACACACCAGTTCAAATTTAAGCACATTTTACTCTACTAGTTTCCACATCCTTTATGACTGAATGTCTTCAGATACCCAAGGTAAGCTCTGGCAATGGACTATTTTTACTACTGGTGGCCTTTCAAAGTGGGACAGTTAGATGACTCGAGGCTGTAAATATTAGCCTATGTAGTTTATTCTCTGTTGGGCTAAATAAAAAGACTGGATGATTACTGGCAGTGAAGCAGATACGGCAGGGGTAGGGTTGGAATAAAGTGTCAGAGTCCTGTAATAGTCAAGACTATTCGGGCATTACATTCACCCTGTCATAATGTACTGCCATACTCTTCCCACAGACAAAAAGGGATAAAGAAAGCTTGAGAGGGAAAAACGGAGAGAGGACCAAAGAGATTTGTAACATCTCACCAAGGTTATTAAAGCATGTATACTTTACCTGGACAGTCTCTAGCTTGCAATGAGACTACATATGGAGTGACATTATTCTGAAGGGCTTCTGTTAGACTTCTGAACGTTAAATCATGATCTGTTACATTCACACCTATGGGATTATATATCAGTATTATACCATCATTTTTATTATTAATAATTTAACAACAAAAGCTATTTAACTTGTCAAGCAAATTGCTAAGTAAAAATAGTTTACTATATGATTAATAACAGAAACCAAAAAAATACACTGCATAAATTAAGAGATCTCCAGTGATAATAGATATGTGGATGCACACACTATACTTATTTGATAGGAAAGGTATTTAGCACAATTTCTTTTAAAAAAATTACCAGGGATGTGTAGTTTACCCTTGAGAACATCTTATGAATAATTTCATTCCTTTGTTACATTGACAAAGAACACTTTAAAACAATTATTCAAAAATAAGGATTATAGATTCCAGGCTTACTGTGACCCTGACTTACAACTGAGGAGAATCCAATCAGTATTATTATTTATGATCACAGCAGTAAATACAGTAGATGAAGTATACACTGAACTGATTTCCGAGGAAAGAGCCTAAAAACAAATTATAATTTTAGGTCCTTTAGGTATTTACTAAATCCTCTCATTTCCACAAATCAGAATTTTAGTGCTCTGCATGCAGGTATCAGAATTAAGTGAAAATTTCCCCACATACTTTGGAAAAAATTCTATTAACTGATGACTTCCCTAACTTCACAATCTGTGATTTCTAGAAAGTGCTTTGACCCTTAGGCAGGTGCCAGCAGCAGACATCTTGAAACTACTTTATACTTGCTACTATAAAGCTTCAACTGCTTGTCAGAAAAGGTTCAGAATCATCCTGGCCACCACCAATAATCAACATTTTTTTTCCTCGGAGAGCCGATACATAAAAATGTTGGCAGGCCATTTTTAAATGGACATACACTAAAATAAATAAACAAACAAACAGACCACATACATTTTAGAAAACAGAAAATTTGTAATTATACTTAAGTATATTTGAGCTTTTAAGTATCAATATGATATTCCTAGCATGCATTATGGTTTATGATTGTGATACCACATCTCTGAACACATTTAGGAATTTACAAAACACTGACTTTATCTTGTCTTCACTGAATTTATAAGTTCTTTAACACTATGTTCCTTAAGACAAAGGAACTGTCTATTAGAAACAAGATAATCAGCATCTTTAACTGGAAAAATGTTCTCCTAAAAGCACTGACTTTGAAACACATGATTTACATTAGCTTCCTTTCTACTTTTGGCAGTAGGCGAAGAAGGGATTTAAACAGTGTTCTCACAGCAATCTATCAGCCATGCCTCTTGATTGTGTTTTCCCCATTCCACTTCCAATTACTGTAACATGGCAGTACAGAAATAAAGTGCCCAACGGTACAAGCTAGCCATCAGTTTCTCATCCATAATAGAAGGGGTTTTGAAATTAAGTAGCAGACTGCACAGAAAAGCTGGTTCACAGCATTATAAATCATTCCACAAAGTTTATTCAGAGCAGTCCCAGGATCAGTAGCATGGACATTAGCTGGAGGCCTGTCAGAAATGCAGTTTCCGGCCCAGCCCCAGACTTACTAGCGAAAACTTTCATTTACTAAAATCCCTTAGACATTACTTGTAGATACAATAAAATGTGAGAAGTACTGTCTTGAATATCAAGTAGATCATGAATAGTATTAGGCAGTCATTAGACAAAAGAATTTATCTCAGACCCTACTAGTATAACAATCCCAGAATAAATAGCATATTCAAAGAGCAATTAAGATTATATTAGAAATCCAAATAAATTCAACTTTCTTTTCAAAAGGAGTGAGGAAAATTTGCTAATATTCCAAAGAAAATTTTTCCATTACCTGCAATCCAGATGTTTGGTTAAAATGGAATGTTAATGATAGAAACTTAAGTAACTAAGAAATTTAAACCTGCAGTCTGAAAGCAATTTACATTTAATTCATCCAAACTGCCTTTTAAACAGTTACTAGTAATACAGTATTACAATCCAAGATTGAAAAACTATGAACAGGTAAATAAAATTAAGGTCATAGAGTAACCGCACTGAAGAGATGATAAAAAGATATAAAAATAAAATCTATTAATATACTGCTGGTTTCTTTATTACCAAATTCAAATCTCCCACATTTTCATAAAATAACTAAGAAGAAAAGAGTAACACAAATATATTTCCCCATCATTTTTTAGACAAAAAAATGGAGGAGGATACTAGGTAATCAAGTCAATTTCTTTTAATTAACAAATGCATGTCCAGCATAAGGAAATTTTACTGGTTTTGAAACTATGCTCAATAAACTATAATTGGTTTAATTCTGTAAATGAGAGAGATAAAACAGGTTTATCAGAACAGGTTATTCCCTACTATTTTCAACAACAAAACCACCAATGTAAGAAAACAAACATGTACATACCTAGAATAAGAGCAGCTGTTGGAATTTCTCTGAGTTTTATTTGACAGCCCCAGTCTTTTGAATTCTTCTGGAATTCAGAATGAGACTTTTGCAGAAATTTGATTAGGCTGTCAAATAGGTTTTTATTTAATTCCTCTTGCAGTTGCTAAACAGAGAACACACAAAACTTTATGGATTATTATTAGCAATAATCTGATGTGTCTTTCTAAATTTGGGAAAGAAAACTGTCATGAATTCAATTCCAAAGATTACATATAGAATTATAATGATAATGAAATAAAGAAAAGTTTTTCTCTTAAATCTCCAGTGATTAGAGCTTTGGATTCCTTCATTAAAGAATCTCATTTACTCACTCAACAAACTTTGACTAACCACCTTACAAATGAAAGACAGTGTCTACCCTAAAAAAGAAATTGAGCAAGAACACTTACATTGAAAATATGTTGTTTAGAGTACTACAATAATATAGGAATAAAGAGTAAGACTACACAACTTAAGCTGAGGAGGCGATATATCTGAGCCAAAGCATTGGAGCAGGTGATGGAGTAAGTAATGGTAGATCAAAGAAAGAAGGAATTGGGCGGGAGGGGAGCGGGTAAAAGAGGCAAGGAAGGAAGCAAGCACCAAACACCTAGGGAACCACAGATATAGGTAGGCATAAAGAACTTGAGAAGTAGTAGGGAATAAGACTGGACAAATAAGCAAGGGGATGGACCAAGGAAATATATATTTGATGTTAAAGAATCTGGATTTCATCCTATAGGGAGAACCACTGAAGGGATTTGAAGTAGAGACATGACTAAATCAGGGTTAGGAAGGGTTAATCTGGCAGCACTGTGAAGGCCAAATTAGAAGGGATCATAGAAGCTATACTGGCAGCAGAGCTGGAAACCCCATTGCCTGGCTGAAGACTTGTATGTGCATGAACAAAGGACTTTCCTAATTGCCCAACGGTGCCACAGGGCTTAGCGGCAAATATGAAGAGTTTTATATCAGAAGCAGGGATATTAGAATATTTTGACAATCAGGTTAAGAAATGAAGGGGATGGCTCTGGCCAGGTAGTTCAGCTGGTTGGAGTATCATCCTGTAGACCAAAAGGTTGCAGGTTTGATCCTTGATTGGCGCCGGGTATGGGAAACAACCAATGGATGTTTCCCTGTCACACAGATGTTTCTCTTTCCCCACCCCCTTTCTCTTTCTCTAAAATCAATAAACATATCCTCCGTTGAGGATTTAAAGAAAAAATGAAAAGAAATGAAGATGACAAATTGGAAACCTTCAAGGGTCACATGGAATACGTGAATGAGCAAAGCCAGTAGGTGTAAAACAACAGAGTGTGGTGGGAAGCAATAATAAACTGAAAAGTGTATAACCATCCCAAAGGCATTGGCATTAAAAAACAAACTGTGTGTGTGTGTGTGTGTGTGTGTGTGTGTGTTGGCCAAAAAGTCCTTTATGTTTTCTTCAGTAAAATAAAAGACATATTTTTTATTCTCACCAATAACTTTACTGATCTGAATATTCTGAGTATGTAGGCTATCTCCTGCTATTAACTTCTAGTGGGTAGATGTTAAGGGTGCTGCTAAACATCTTCCAATGCATAAGACAGATCCACAGCAAAGAATTATTTGGCCAACATATCAACAGTACCAGGTAACTTTGCAAACCACTTTTGACATGTTCAATTAATCACAGAACCCTCTCCATACATGGCACAAATCTTTTTTTGCATTTCAGTTGCATTTTTACTTTTCTTGAAATAATAAAGCATAATATGCCAAAAATGTTGCATTATCTTCTTCCATCTTCAATATTAAAATGGCTGCACAAAAATTGACCAATTTTGGTAAGTTTTTTAAAAATCCATACTGGCTGATATGACAGCTGTCACAACAAAATCTAACAAAATTGTTCCAAATGCAGTTAGACAACTAAGCACTTCTAGAACTGTTGTACAGGAAACACACAATGGACTTTTTCGCCAACACAGTACAACACTGTGTTGGTCAAACAAAACAAGTCCACTCAAGATGCTGGCCCTAGAACAACGTATCTGCTATAGTGGAGAAATTTTTCAGAGCTAGAATATAAAGAGCATGGTACCTGGATATGAGGATGAGAGAGTGAAGCACTATAGAAATAGCTTGAATTCTTACTTGTGTAACTGAATGGAAAATTTGAAGAGTGCCTGCATTTCAAAGCTGTGAGGATATGTTAAGGCCCCCTGCCTTAGCAACTATCATTACAAACATATACTCCAGTACCTGAAACTATGTTTAATACCTGGAATATGAGGGGTTTTTTTTTAAGGATATACAGATTGTTCTTAAACAATATTCCAATATTTCATCAATTCTCTTGTAAACTGGTAGAAAAGATGAAAAGCAACAAATGAGATTTATGGTATTAGAGAAATGTTGCTATTAAAAAAAGTATTCACCTCAGTTTCAGATTTCATCTGCTGCCATATCAACTGATAAGTTTCAAATCGAAGATTACTGTCCTCAGACTCATTTTTTCCTTTATTAAAATATTCCTCTGAAAACAGAAAAAATTAAGTCAATGTCTTTTTTATATAATAAAAGTTATAAAATATCTGTACAAAGTCACACAATAAGTGATGGGGTTGAAATTTTTTTACATGCCTCAAAAAAAAAATATATATATATATATAGGGACAGGTAACATTCAATATCCTTTATATTTAATTTCATTTATATATCTTATATCTTACTATAATTATTTTATCTATAAGATTAAATATCTTTAACTTTTAGAATGTATTTCTATCATTTACTTCTCAATTTGTTTTTATTTAATGGTTTTTGATTTGAGGTATATATATTTAATATTATTTTTATTATTTCCCCTTACAAGGCCTTGTATGCTTTGCTTCATATATTGGCTTTGAGCTCTCCTTTATTAAATAAATCTTACTACTACTATTTTATTCATTTGTTCAACTAACATAGTTTTAGCCCAGACTTTTATTTATTCTGTCTTATTATTATTTTATCTACTTTTCTAATGTTTTCCTCCAAATGGTTAGCCATTTATCAAAATACTATTTGCTGCAGTAGTTTTCAAACTTTTAAAACTATGATCCACATTAAGGAATACATCTTACATCATAAGCCAACACACATACATGCAACAAAGACAAAAGTCTCACAAAACAATACTTATCCTTATCATGGGATACCAAATGTTTTCTATTGTTTTTTAAAATTCTCATGACACACTAAATTGATATTATGACTCACAATTGAGTTATATATAAAAATCTTCAGTTTAAAAAAATATTCCTTTTTTTCTACTGATTTGGGATGCCCTTATCATCTAAATACTTATATGTACACTTGGAACTATTTTTGAACTTTTTCTTTCATTCTACTGAATCCAACCATACCAGTCCTGCCCTGTTTTAATTATTGTAGGTTTGTAGTTCATTCTAATACTGAATAGATCCAGGTCTTCTTCCTATCACCACAAAACACCATCATTCTTTTTCAAAAAATTTAAAGCCATTCTTTCAAACTAATTTTGTCATTTCTGAAAACTAATTGCAATGGTATTTTGACTGGATACAAGGCAATTTGTAGTCTGATTTGGGGAGAAATGATATTTTTAATATGGTAAAAATTCACATCCAAAAACACTCCAAGACTATTCCTTTAATCAGTATTTTACATTCCTTACAGTTTTCTACTTTCCTTCATATTTCCTGTTTACTTCTGGGTATTTTACTGTAATAGCAAGAACGTTCATGGTATTACATAATTGTGAAAATATACATTTTGTTCCTGACCTCACTAAAATGCTGCTAGTATCCCAATATCAAATTTTAATATTAACTAAGAGTTTGGAATAGAAATTCTCTTTCATGTTAAGGAACTTTCCTTCTAATCATGGTTGACTTTGTTTTTGGCAATACTGATTTTTTAATTTTATCAAAAGTCTTAGAATATTTTGAAGTCATCATATGATAAAATGATAGACAAGTTTATAATATGAAAACGTAAACAAAAAAAGCAGGGAGATACATACTATTACTAAGAGACTAAGCAGAATAACAAGGTAGCCTTCGATAAAGCAAAACTAGTCATCTTTGAAAAATAAGTAAAATCATATAAAAACTTAAAACAGCAAATCAAGACATGAATACTTTTGTGCTGAATAATGCTGCATCAAAATACTTAACTGTCAGAAATTGGAAACAAGAACAGTAGAACACTTTAACCTGTTACCATAACTTCTCTCAGTCATTTATCCAGCAAGTAGGTAAAAAATAATTAAGCACTGAGAGGAACTAAAGAATGAATGTCAGCTCTCACTGCTGACAGTTTAGCTCCTGCTTCCAATCACAGTTCATTCTCTCTCTCTCTCTCTCTCTCTCTCTCTCTACAGAATACTGAGGAAAGTGAGAGTTATCAGTCTTTTTTTAGGTACATGCCCAAATGCCTTCAAGTCAGGGGGTAGATGGTGGGTGCAATGTAAAGCATCTTTCTACTTGTGCAGACAATTTTGTTTTAAGAACTGAAACCATTGAAGGCAAGTGCTAATATCTGGATATGGTTTTCCTCATTTCTGCTCCATCTGTTTTAAAGTTAGGGTCAATTCCTCTAAGATTTTCATATTGTAACAGTATCTGTTGGTCTTACATCTGGACAATGGAATAAACCTAATGCACTTCAAAGTTCATTTTAAACAATTATAAACATTAGGTTTACTAATACTACTAAAAACTTTAAACAAATCTTAATAAATTATAGCTGAAATTTAATACAAAAAGTTCTAAGCAAAAATTCACCTCATAGTTTGAGAGGCAGTACTAAGTAATGGTTAGAACACATTCAAGAATCAGACAGCTTAGGTTCAAATCTCAGCTCTGCCACTAGCAACATCACTGAGAAAGTTCTTTATATCTAAGTACCTTCATTTGATATGTTCTAACAAAAATATGCACTCACATGATCAGCCTTCTTAAATCTAGGGAACATGTCCCTCACTCCAAAAAGTTCCTCTTGCATTTTGCAGTCAATTCCTCCTACTTTACCCTAGGAAATCACTAAGATTTTTAAGACAATCTCTTTTAAAGAATGGTGACATATCCTTAGAAGGACACTTACTTTTCAATTTACCTTTTGAAGATATATTAGTATTTCCTTTTAGATTAGAAGTCTGGGGTGGTACCCTTACTGCTTTGACCTATGCCTTGGAAGATAACTGCTATGTAAACATGACAGGTAAGCCAAGCTTAGAGAATTACTAAATTCAGTTAGGGGAGGAAAACTTACAAGCCTGATATTAAAACATCTTACCTACTGGCACAGAGATCCTTCTTTTCTTGAAGTCTGGCTTAAACACAAAGCAGCCCTATAAAAAAGGGGGGGGAGGGGAATCATAAAGTCAAAGTAGCCAAGGAGCAAATAAATCTAATAACCAGCATTTTATGGATAAGCAGTTTTTTTTTAAAAAATGTGTTTCTTTAAAGTGCTAAGAAATCATCCCTTTTCTATCCAGGTTATAGAAGGAACGTTCTAAAGCAATATAAGAACTATCCATTTCTTTCTCCTTCTTTCCATGGGATATATGTTTGACTTTGCTCTTTGGGACCTTATCTAAGATGTGGACAAAGAAAACAAATGCTGATGAAATTTAACTCAGTTTCCATTTTTATAAAACTTAGAGAAAAACATTAGCAGTATATATTAAAATGAAAATCAAGACTATATAAAATAGCCCTGACTGATGTATCTCAGTTGGTTGGGCATCATTCCTCAAAGTGAAAGGTTGCCGGTTCAATTCCCAGTCAGGGCACATGCTTGGGTTGCAGGTTCGATCCCCAGTTGAGGTGTGTATGAAGCAACCAACCGATGTTCCTCTCTTTCCCCTCCCTTCCCTCTCTCTAAAAATAAATAAATAAAGCCTTAAAAAAAAAAAACATATAAAATAGTTATGCTCTCCCATCTCATAAAAAGTATGTATTACTTAATTAAACTCCAACTATTTAGAACCTTGATGGGAAACACATACTCTGGGCTATTTTGTTTCATCTTTTTTCATCTGATAAACTCATTCTTTTATCCATTATTGATCAACTCAAACTCACCCACTCTGGGAAACCTCCAATTCTCTAGTTAAAATTATTCCTTCTCTTAAGATCTCACAATACTTGAATATCTTTATTTTAAATCACTTTCACTCTGTATCATAGTTATTTAGGGTCTCCTAAAGTAGTTTGTGAACACCTTCAGAGCAGACTGCATTCAGTTCATAATCATTTCCCCAATGTTTAGGATCGTGTTAATATATACATTTGGCCTTGTTAGTATACAGAATGAATGCTTGCCAAGTGATATTCCTGGTAATTTCCTGGCTACACATAGATTCTTGTTATTATTCGACTAGGGATAGATAGCTCCCAAGCTACTGGTCTTATGCTTGGTCTACCAATCCTAAAGCTACACATCATGGACAGCTACTTAAGATTGCCATTTCTGCTTTTTCTCCACCATCGAGGTATGTGAGGTTCATTCTTCTTCACCATGTCTTCTCACAAGACTTTCAGGATCAAGAGGTTCCTAGCCAAGAAACAAAAGCAGTATCGGCCCATTCCCCAATGGATTCGGATGAAAACTGGTAATAAAATCAGGTACAACTCCAAGAGGAGACACTGGAGAAGAACCAAACTGGGTCTATAACGAATCACGCAGGACATTGGAGAAGAACCAAAACTGGTTATATATGGAAGGGCACATCAGAGATGGCTCACATATTTATGCTCTCTATTCGTGTTGTCTGCCTCTTGAAACCACAGAAAAGACCACTACTGGACAGCCTGGCATTTTAATTGGGAAATTGTTGGAAAAATGATTTTTCTCTTGATTTTTTTCCTGCAGTAGTAGGTTCGTTCATTAAAAAATGTGAGGCCATTTAAAAAAAAAAAAAGATTGCCATTTCTATGGAAAAGGAAAATAAATAAATAAATAAATATCTATATATCTCAAAAGTTATCTCAGGATAGTGCTGAAGACAGCAGTGCAAATATAAAGTGGCCATTTGGATTATAGGATCCAAAGTGAGAACTATGCCTTATACTTTTGTATCTGCTACTAGTGGAACTATTTAAAATACACATACATACTTAGAAAAATCATGTGGTACCATGACAAGCTGGTCAATGCCTCCTTTCTATGTCCCTCGGCAACTCAGAAAAAGAAAAGGAGCTTTGAAGGAATGAGATACAAAGAGTACCAAGAATGAATCCTAACATATGGCAATAGCAGTAATACTGATCAAGGGATGTTATCTGAGATGGAGGAATAAGTCTAGGAGGAAAGCTGACAGCAAGAAAATATGACAAGGAAAGAGAAGTTTAGATAGGTTAGGGAAAAAACAAACAAACAACCTGGCAGTTCCATGAACTCTAGCAAGTCTTTCTAGATTCTTATTCATGTAAGATCCCCTTCATAATCATCTCAATACAACCATTTCTGTTATAATGCCCTAAGTGCTTTCCTTAAAAAAATAAAATAAAAAGAACTCACAGTTTTGCAAGGTATCATAAATCAGTGTTTTATGCAATAAAAAGGATTAGGGGACAAGCTACTCAAAACCTATGGAACTTTATTTACTATCAGGTCAAAACAAAAACAGTACCAATCCTAATTTAAAACAAAACAAAACAAAAACAAAACAGAAAACAAAAAAAAACCCTGGCTGGGTGGCTCAGTGGATTGAGAGCCGGCCTGCGAACCAAAGGGTTGCCGGTTGAATTCCCAGTACAGGGCACCTGCCTGGGGATGCAGGCCTGGTCCCCGGTAGGGGGCGCGCGAGAGGAAACCATACATTGATGTTTCTCTCTTTCTTCCTCCCTTCCCATCTCTAAAAATAAATAATTTTTTTTTAAAGTCCATTAAATCTCTTCTGGCATTTGCATCTAGCATCAGTTAGTCAATCCTTTGAAAACTTAAACCCTAAGCTTGTAGTTCCTCCTTGATATGAAGTCTTGAAAGACACTCCTCATAACTTTAATTTTAATCAAAATTAAAAGTTAGACCCATGGTGTAGCCTTCTTCATTAATGTGGTTTAACAGAGAGAAATGTCTTTGCAGCTTTTTCAACTGCACTCTCAGTTTTATCAGAGAGCTTAACGGGCGATGCGCTCACAGTATTACCAAAGGCCATCGTCTATAGCAGTGCTATCCAACAGGACTTTCAGTAAGGAAGTAAAATAATCTGCACTAATATGTAGTCACAGCATCATGTGGTTATGAGCATTAGAAATGTGGCTAATGAGACTGAGGAACTGAATTTTAATTTTTTAAAATTTTACTTGAATTTAAATACCCACATGTGGCTAGTGGCTACCGCACTGAACAAAGCTGTTTATCTTCGTACCACCTGTACTAGGTCTTGCAATCCCTGGTCATCTAAGCAGCCAATATGAAGTCTATAATATCCTCCCACACATACACCCTACACTTTTCCATAAGACTCCCTTCTCTATCTCTGCTCTCTCATTATAAGGACCAATAATATGCCATTTTATTTCTCTCTTCTGGGCCAAAGAACATGTCAGTCTCTCTGCTAAATCCGCACCCCCCTCTCCCCAATGCTTGACCTAATTTCCACTCATTTTTCAGGCCTTGGCTAAAATGACTTTCTCCAAAGGCCTTTGCTGACCCTCCGCAATCTAGGTTAGGTTCTTCACGTTCTTCTGCTCTCTCCCTTAGAACTTTCTTGCTAACATTTATCATAATTTGTGGTCATCTTACCTATTTAATGTGTTTGAGTGCAAAAACTGAGTCTACTACGTGTCCTGGTACCTAATGGAGTGCTGGGCGCACAATAAATATTTATGAGAAGGAAAAAGTCGGGAGACTGGGGAGCATCCTCGAGGCATTCGACCTCCACAACCACAATTTAAAACTCCTCCTAGCCAAAACACTAAGGCATGTGGGAGTCTTTGCTCCCCAAAGTTAGCCTCAACTGGATCTGGAACAAGGATGCCCCAGCCTCTGTCCGCCGCACCTTGCCCTTAAGTCGGTACACCTAGACCTACGTAACGTCTGCTTCACGGCTTCCTCAAAAGGGAATGAGGCTGCAGCGGAGTCTCAATGGTCGCCCGCCCCCACGTACCTTGGACACCGAGGAGGTGGCCATGGTCCTAGCGGCTCCCGGGAATCCAGAAACTCGGGATTTCCCGCGCTCCCTCGCGGCAGCAGGGCAGAGGTTAGTAGGGGGCTAGTAGGCTTCTTGATTGGCTGGTATCACCCTCCTGGGCGGGCTTCCGGCGCGCGGAGGAGGGGCAGCAGAGGGCGGAGTTGGCTCCAGACAAGACTGGTAGGACGCGTTTCTTCGAGGCCAACATGGCGTGTGCCTTCCGCAGGTCTATCGCCTGTCAGGTACGGACCGGAACTAGCCGAAGGAGCCCCGCGCGGAGTCCCACACCCTGAAGCCATTTTACCGCTGTGGGCCAGTCCTCAACAGCGGGATGGCAGGTTTTGAGAAAACTATTCCTACCGGCTCCTCCCCCTTATTTAGAGATGTTTCAGCTGATGAGGGTATGAGGCTCAGATCAGTTTTCACAGTGAAAAGTAAACTTTGAAAGGCACGTGTTGCTTTTCCCCCAGTCCTTCCCACCCTGCATACAGCATTGTATCCTTTATCTGGGTGGAAAGTCTTTGTGCCATGATTAGACCCCATAGAAATTAATATTGACCTAGTGAATCAGAAAGGGTTTGGCTAGGAATGAATTTTAAAGATTTACCGGGGGGTCTTAAGGTATGTAATACCCAGAGTGTTCTGAAGAAAAACGGAGAGTTCTTATAGTATTGGGTTGGCCAAAACGTCCGGTGTTTTTTTCCATACAGTGGCTTTAGTAGTATTTAGTTGTCCTTAACTCCACTCGAAACAATTTTGTTAGATTGTATTGTGACACCTGTCATATCAGCCATCTTTCATTTTAAAAAAAACTTATAAAAATTGGTGAATTTTTGTGCAGCCATTTTAATATTGAAGATAAAAGATAATGCAACATTTCTGGCATATTATGTTTTATTTCAAGAAAAGTAAAAATGCAACTGAAACGCAAAAAAGATTTGTGCTGTGTATGGAGAAGGTTCTATGACTAATCTAACATGTCGAAAGTGGTTTGCGAAGTTTATTGGTACTACTGCTATTTTGGCCAAATAATTATTTTGCTGTGGGGCTATCTTATGCCATGGAAGATGTTAACAGTACCCCTGGCCTTTACTCACTAGAAGCTAATAGTGGGAGGTAGCAACATACTCAAAATATCCAAATAGTGAAGTTATTGGTGAAAATGAAAAATGTGTCTTTCATTTTACTGAAAAAAACATAATGTACTTTTTGGCCTACACAATATAATGGAGTCACCATAGTCAAGCTGCTAAATTACTAAAATCAAGTAGGTTGATGTATGAGGAAATGATTCAATTATTGCTTTACCTGGGAACTTAAAATTTCTAATTTCCCAGTGCTACATTAGTGTCTGGATAAACACCAAACCTCCAGGTAATCCTCTAATTGCTCTCTTAAGGAAAAGAATGGCTTTCATTTGTCCAGCCCTCTGATTATCTAGATCAGGGGTCCTCAACCTCTGGGCCTTGGATAGGTACCAATCTGGGCTGGTTAGGAGCCAGGCCACGGGACAGGAGGTGAGCTTGAACGTAATTCACTGGAATCATCCTGAAACCATGGCCACCAACCGTCTCTCCCCACATAGCCAGTGGAAAAACTGTTCTTCCACGAAACCCGTGCCTAGTACCAAAAAGGTTGGGGACCACTAAGAGGATTACTATCTAGGACCAATTCAGAGAGTAAGAATGCAGAACTAATTCTCAGGAACTTTTTGGCCAAGCCAATATTCCTTTATTCTTCTGTGTTCTTTAAATTTAGTGGAGTTGGTGATGAATCTGAATTTTTATTCTAAAGAATCTAACTTGAAAAGTGGTCATTTCTGTTGCAGTGACTTTGGCTGCTTGCCCTAGCATTAGCTTTAATAACTTCAAAGATAACATGAGGCCCTGTTTTCCTTGATTTAGAGTCATCATCTAACACTTCTTTAATGAAGAAGAGAATAGAATATTGCAAAAACCTTGCCCTCCAAATCCTTTAGGAAGGTCTCTTCTGAACCCTGAAGTTTTAGTTGTTAGCTTATTTGCTGCCTGTTTGAGTCTGAGCAAATCCAGACCTGTAACTGAAGAAAGTCTCTGAAAATGTGGATTGCTTGTTCATTGGCTCTTGGTGGCAAATGTACGTACCTGACCTGGTTATTTTAGGAAGTCAGAAGTGAGGAACCAGAAGTTATTAACAGTTTAATTTAGGATCTGGAAGAGTAGTAATTGGTACCAACAGGTTAAGTAATTTAAGACCTGGAAGAGTAATTGGTACCCTTTTAAGAATTTTAAGACTCATAGCCTTGCAGACTGTTATATGGATAAAAACACAGAGCTCATTTTCATAAGATGTCATTTCTGCCACCTAGATACCTGGTTACTAAAACATAAGGATCTCTTTTGCACTAGAAAAATTAGGATTTTTATGTGATTACCAGAAATTTTGATCTTGAACTTGGCTCCTAGCTGAATTTAAAATTTTGTCTAGAGCCAAAGTGATAGAATATTTTTTTTGGCTTTGTATTCAGTACCTGGCTATGAGGTATAGGAATTATTTGTGCCTGAGAAAGGAATGGTTGAGAATTGCCCAAAAGCTGATTGATGAATGAGTTTTCTCATACTGGGAGCCAAAGATTCCATTGTCTTAGAATCTCTGACTTTATATTGCCAAATTTCTAAGGCTTAGAATTGTACCTGGTACATTGTAAACAATCAACACATACTAGCCAATATTATATTACACATTGGAATCTCTGGTCTTAGGTTCCCAAACCAGGTCTGGAATGCATGGATTTTTCACTTTTGATACTCCTTGAAGAACTCCCTGCCTTCAGCCTCAGACTTCTTCCTCATTCAATTGTGTTATTTAGTTTATTTCTCAAGGACTGTGCTTAATATTTTGTGGGTTTTATTTCTCTGTTAAATTTTGAACTTTATTGTTACAGTCTTATTATTTTATTTTCATCCAGTATATTTCATTCTCTAAGAGTTTTTTTCTGTCATCAGTATTGAGGCCTTATGTAGATAGCTACCAATAGGCCCTCGTTACACCAGTGGTAGCCCTAGATAAAGCCCAGTGCCAGGAGTAGCACCATTATGTGAAGGTGAAAAAAGAAAAGAAATCCTGTAGCTAAGGAAACCCATTATCCACCACATTCCCTTCAGAAAAAGCACTAAATACAATCTTATTATTTCCAGAATAATTATGAACCTGTGAGAATGTAGGAGAATTAAAAATCATGTTCTCTGACATTTCACCACTTAACAGTGGTTCTTTTATCTTGTGTGTGTGTGTGTCCCACCTATTTAAAAGATTCTTGTAATTAAAAGCACTCACTAGCCTGGGCACTGATTGTTCACATGAAGGACAGTTGGTATCTTCCTAAGCAGTGGTTCTCAAGGCTTGGCTGCAGACAGGAATCATCTGAGAAGCATTAAAAAATACCTAAATCTAGGTCCATTGGCCTGGAGTAGGTCTTGAAGCTCTCAAAATCATCTGGTGTTTCTGATGTTCATCCAGGCTTAACCACTAAGGACAACCAGGAGGCAGAAAGGTATGGTGCAGTTGTTCCCACACTTCACTGCACATTACAGTCAACCCAAAAACTTTTTAACATCCTGTTGCTCAGGTAACACCTGTGTTAATAAAATCAGAATATTTGCATGGTCAGCATCAAAGTTTTCTCAGGATTTCTGGGTCATTCCAATGTATAAGAAAGTATGAGAACCACTGGTGTAGTGATTAAGAACACTGATCATGGGGACACATGGGTTAAATCCAGCTTCTCTGAGAGGTAAGTTCTCTGTCCCTCATTTGTAAAATCTGGAAAATAACTTAGCTACTTTATAGGCTTGTCATTAGGATTTAATTAATTAATATGTATATGGTACTTAGGATTGTGTTTGGTGCATTGTATATACTCAATAAATATTGTTCATTATTACACTAAATAAGAATGCTGAGGATGGTATTTTAAACCCCCTTTCTGCACCACTACCACCCCAAAGGCTTTCTGATGTGGGGGACCTAGTTATACATTTACCCTCAGTGAATGCTGTTAGTCCCACATGAAGCTAGATCACCAGAAAGCTACAATACATATCTGAACCTTACTTAATTTTCAATGGGACTTCCTTAGTAGTACTTTTATAAAGTAGTGCTTTTTTAAAGAGAAAAGTCTTTTTCATTTTTGCAAAAATAATGCTTGTTCACTGTTAAGAATTAAGTAATACAAAAGAATTTAAACTTCCCTGTAAATAATCATCATTAACAGGGTGACCTTCATTTTAGATATATTTGTCTGCAGATATACAGACAGGAAAAAAGAAGGAAGGAAGACTGGATAGATATGCTTTTTATAAACATTGCGCTTTATTGTAATGAGTTTTTATTTTTAGATTTGTTTGCTTTTATTTTTTAATTTTATGATGAAAAATGTCCAACTACTAAAAGTGTATTAGTGTTAGGATTTCCAGTGTATCCATAACTTAAATGCTGTTTTAAATAAAAAGTATTAAACATAGTTTTGCTTGAATTTAATGAAAGAAAAAGAAACCAAAGTGCAATGCAAAGAATTATTGATGTGTTTCCTAAATGAATCTACAGTTAAGAAAAGAGATTATGCGTAATGTTACACCTTGGAGTGTTTCTTTAAAATCTTGATGTTTCTAATATAGACAGTATCAACCCCTCGCAGAGAGGAAGACTTTAGAATTTGGGTAACTTTCTCACTCAAAGTTTGTAATGCTCATAGTCTGTTTATTAATGTATCTACACAACTTTTCTCCTGTTCATTTTAAATTAAATTGGATAGATGCTTACTACCAATGCTTTTCCTAGTACATGACTTGATTGGCTGGATTTCTTTATAAGTAGATTTTTTTAAGAAGGACTCATTCTGCTTTATTTTTTGTAACTTTATTTGAAAAGAAATTTATGAATTCTCAGATAAAATAACCCTGGATATATCAAAAGGAGGCTTAATCATTAGAAAATTAGCATGTTTAGAAATGATATCATTTCTAAATGACATTTATTTTCCAAATGACATTTAGAAAATAATCAAAAATCTTTTAGAAATAAAAACAACTGAGCAGGCGAAACAAACATAGCAGTCTGCAACTTCTCTACTGGATGAATCTAGTACTATATAATATCATTGCTAAATTATTTGCTTTAACCAGTTCATGCTCTTTGTGATTAGGTAACAGGCTACAAAGTGCATTTTTTTGAATCTCTGGGTTTTTGATTGGGTGCTTTATTTTTTAAATTTAGTAACTTCGGCAGATGTAGCTCAGCGTTAACTTTCTGTTACTGTATTTTCCTGACAGTTTACTTTGATCTGTAGATTCAGTTTGTTTCTCTTTTAAAGAAATATTGAATCATGAAGAAGAATAGTATAATATTCTATAGATAGTATTCATGTAGCTATTACTAATTGGGATGCACTCATAGCTTGTAAGTGACATCCACAGATATGGCAAACACCAAACCTCGTATATGAGGAAAGAGAATTTGCAGGGGTCGTTAGCCAGGAGATTTTAATATTTGCAATAATGTATTTTTCAATCCTTAAATTTTATATACGTGGTAATCAAACTGTAATTATCCTTCTGCTACTTGGAGTTGTGTTTGTTTCTTTGCCTCAATTTTTACAAAAGATCTATAATGATGCATGAAGGTTCAGTTCCTTCATTTTACTGCTGAATGGTGGGCCACTGTCATAATACACTACAATTTAGATTTGGTTCTTCACTTCAGGGTGTTTCCTTTTATTGAACATTATGCCCTGTTATCTATCTCCCATCACTTGGTCACACCTGTGATTCCAGCTACCACTTGTGTGAACAGTTTCACATGTACTTCCATTCACTTATTGCTAACAGCATCCCATTCAGTCTGAAAGCCTGCTAGTCCCAGCCCATACTCAGCTCAGGTGTGGCAGAGTTAATATCAAGGACAGCCCCAGTCAGTGGAGAATGGAAGCTCCTAGTTTTGGATAGACAATTTTGATACACATTGTGTATACTTCTTAGGAGATAGTAAGGAAAATTAAGCCCCCAATGCCTATAGCAATGACCTTGATAGCATAATCTTATATGAACTCTTTCTCCTTTCCTTTTATTCTTCCCCAATCACTTCAACCCTCAGGAGTCACCTTCCAAATAAACTACCTGCCTGTAATCCTTTTCTCAGGCCCTGCTTTTGAAGGAGCCAAGATATATACTCTCTTGGGGGCTTTGGCTGATTTATCTCTGTGGCTTCTGATAAATGAGACCAAGTTAGGATGCCCTGCTAGAAATAAAGCTGCTCTACTCTGCTTCAGAATCTTTTGTATCTTTCTTTGGCTATCACTTTTTGAAGGACTTTGTCTCTATCCTTATGTATTTGCTACTGGAGAACCAATGTACCTATCTTGCTGTCCTCTTGCTGCTTTTCTGCTCATTTTGTATTTTAGGGACATCAAGTGTCCTAAGGTTGGATTATCATTATGCAATATTTTTTATCTTTCTCTAATTATCTTAGAACTTCTATGTCATATTTTTATTTTTAATTATAACTGTTCCTTTGTGTTTCTTAATCATTCTGTATTAAAAATGTTTATCAATTTGTTTTTTAATTATTAGACTCCTTTTTATCTCATTCTGTTTGTCTTCTACTTCTTGTTTGTTGTATTTACAAGTCTTGAAGCACTTACAAGAATGCCTTTGTCTTCATTGGGTTATATTTTTCTTATAGATAAGAGTTCTTTGGTCTCCTGTTTGCCACATTCCTTCTCTTCTTTTTCTTTCCCTTTCCAAGCATGAGCTTTCCCCCAACCCTTCTCTTTGTCTCTGTCTTTGCCTATTTGTGGTGCTGCTTCTATTTCACCTTGCTCAGGCTTGACAGCTCTGCCCAAACTTTATATTTTTTTCCTGCATTTTGTAGGTGACTTCCTCACTCTCCATTTTAGATTTGTTCTTGGCTAACCTCACTTTTATGGTTACAAAAATACAAACTCTGCAGCTCTGCATTCCTCTTCTGTCTCTCCAGTAGGTTGTGGTGACCTGTACATACATTCCTGAACTCTGACTTGGCATTTTCGGTTTTTGCTACCTAACCCTGATATTTTTCCATTTTCACATAAAAGTTCCTTCTCTGATTCTTACTGCCCATGCAACACCAAATCACAATTTACTTCCTGTAAATGGGGAATGTACAAGTATGTGTTTCCATTGGGGAGACCCTCAGTGTGCTGTCCTAGAAACTACTTCTGCTAGAAAGTGCTGGAATTCACTTCTGTGTTTTACTCATTCTCTCCTGCAGCTCTGTAGCATCTCCTATTCATAATGGAATGAGTTCCATTTTTTTCCTCACTGGATTTGGGGTATTAATGAGAATTGTTAATTCAAGTTAGGAGCCTAGCCAGACAGGCTGCATCCATTCCTCTTCAGAATCTGCTGTATCTTTCCTTGGCTTTCACTTTTTGAGTTTCTATCTTTGGACTCTGCCTATCCAGTGTATTTGCTGATGGAGAACGAGACATCTTATATACTTAAAATCAACATATACTAGATCAAAGCAGAAATGTACAGAGCATCTTAAAAATATATGACAACTCCAAGTCTGCAAGTTTTGACTTTTTTTTTTAAAGGTTGTGAACTTTAACAGTGTTTTTGACAATTTCAGAGTAACTTACTAGTCAGGAGACAGTGATTTTAGTTTTATTCCTATCTGAAATAGTTAAAAACAACACTAAAGATTTCTTTTTACATTCTTTACTTTTCCTATTTACCCCATTTGTCCCTTGTCTTCTCCCTCAACGACCATGGTTTGTCCATTGCAAAGGCTCATAAAAATTGTGGAGGCAAGGAAGAAAGATGAAAACAGTTCTAAATTCATTATGGCTATACTGTTATTTCACTGTTTTTAAGCATTTCTCATGGAAAGGATATAGGTTTAGTGTAGGTTCTTGTTTTAGATAGCTTGTGTTTACATCTGAGCTTTCCACTTAAGCCAATTATATAAATTCTCACATTTCAGTTTCATCATTCATGAAATATTGTCTATAATAGTGTGAAAGTCATGGGATTATTTCAAGGAAAAATTAAGGCCTGTACGATGTGCCTGTTATTTAAGAATAATTCAGTAAAAGGGATTGATTAGGGCAGTTTACAACTACGGCTATCCATACATTACAGTCATTTGAGGAGTTTTTTAAAAAATACAAATATCCCTGCCCTTGCTATTCTGCTAAACCTTTGATAGGGCTTGTGGATCAGATTTTCCTCATTATTTGTTTGCTTGTTTGTTTATTTTTAAGTGCCATGGGATTTTTGTCTTTTCTGTTCGTTGCTGTATCCCCAGTTCCTAGAACAGTGTCTAGGACAAAATAGGTACTCAATAAATACTTTAAGAATGAATAAAATGAATTACATTTGGTTCCTCAATGGTTCATCTCCTTTCTTTTTGTAAAAAAGATAATTTATTTTTAAATATACATAAATAAAATTCATTTTGGGGTGGAGAGAACAGTTATGTTTGTTTCTTATTACCACACCTTCTTCCCATTGTCAGTCTCTGGCAGCTACTGATCTGTTCTTCATCCTTACAGTTTGGAGTTTTCCAGAATTTTAAATAAATTGAATCTTCAACTATATAGCCTTTTGAGTCTGGCTTTTGTCACTTAGCATAGTGCATTTCAGGCTCATTTAGTTAAGTGTCTCTCTTTTTATTTCTGAGTAATAGTCCATTGAATCTGGAACCAATATATTAACAGTCTTGCTCTGTTTTGTTTTTCTTTATTTTTAGCTTTCCAGAATATTGGATCTTCCCCCAGAAAACTTAATCAAGTCAATATCTGCTGTTCCAATTTCCAGAAAAGAGTTAAGTATATTTGTAACAACTTAAAATGTTGCTGACTATACATAAAAAAAGTTACTCTTCAATTTACAGAGTGGTCCTTGATTTAACCAGATTAGTATGCTTGTGTTGTTTTGATATTTATGCTATTAACTGTAATTATGGCAAAGTCTTTAAGAAGAATGAGGTTCAAATTTAATTCTGTAACACCAAATAAAAGAGCTAAGATTGTGGTTGAAGGACTCTTAGAGATTATACACCTATCTGATATTTGAATGCCATTGTACAATATTTACGTGCTAGGTATTTTGGGGGGGGGGGGGATATTTGTTTTGTGTTGTTTTGTTTTTTTTCTTATCTCCATTTGAGGACTCTCAGTGATACAGACAGCTATTGGTTAGGACTACATGCAACCAATAGTTACCTTGTTGGATGCAGGGAAATATCTCTGTGATTTTGGTAATTCTAAGTGATACTTGTTTATTTTTTGGCTAGAAAACGTTAATATTTGGATAAAATACCCTCTCAGTCAATTAACTAAGACAAGAAATTCACTGCATAATAAGCATTTAAGCCCTAAACTTTAGAAAGACATAAAGATATAATCATCAGTATCGTTATGTCCTTATGTTTTGTCCCCTTTGTCAGGATTTTAAATAGATAAATACTTAATATTTATCTATTTAAAATAGGATAAATATTCTTGTCCCCAGAATAGAACAAAGAGATAAGTGGAAAAGGCAAAAAAGCTGCACTGTAAAAGAGAGCATCTTAAAAATGGCCTGCGGCAATTTCCTTTATACTGAGTTCTAAGAACAGAGACAACCACTGACCAAGGAGAACTTATGATTATATATAAATTTATGTACTATTCTAAACTAGTTACCTATTTAATAAATTCTGTAAATGACATTCTGCATAATTATGGGGTTGTCTGCATTTTTATTTTATGTTTCAAAGGCCTATAATAAGCTCAACTGTCTTGGTCCTTCTTTTGAATAAAGTTTCCTTTACCTGCCTGAGGATCCTTTTAGTTGCACTTAGTCTGAAATATGAAGACTGGTTTATAGAAAATAAATATTGAAGATAACCTCAATTATTCTAGGCTACAAGTCTAGAATTCTACATATTAAATTTATTTAAAACAAATGTGTTTCATCATAAATCCAAGTATCCTTTATAATACTAAAACAAAGCCTAATCGTTCTGTGTTTCTAACTTTATTCTAAAATGCTATTAAGTGCCAGGAGATTAAGAAATACTATTTTCGTTAATGTGGCTTATGTAATGTCACATGAATCAATTTGCTTAGGTCTCTTAGTTCAATTATATTCTCAACTATGGTGGAACTTACAGTTAGTACTGATCATAGTAGAAAGGATTAATAATTGTTACAAGCCAGTAGTAAGCAAGTCTAGGAATTTCACTCTAGCACAACAGCTCCTCAGAAGTAGTGGGAAAGTAGCTATTGCTTTTTAAACTATTTTTTAAAGTTTAAACAGTATTAAAGTATAGGAAACAGAGTAATGACACATACCCGTCAGTCACTGTCATTGGCATGTGGCCCGTTTTGTTTCATCTACACCCCCTACCCACTCTCCTTCACAATGGTTTATTTCGACAGCTACTGCTTTTCGTAGTCTAGATGTCATGTCTTTTTAAAGGTTTTTTTAAAATTCATTTTTCTATTAGAAAAGCAAAACAGATAATTTTAAGGAAATTTAGGAAAATACAGAAGAATAAGAAGAGAAAAAAATTCCCATTAGGCTTACTATGTTGATATCTGATGCTAGCAAGTTGGTATATTTTCACTTTTACTCTTTGAACATATCTTGTGGCCTTTAAGAAAACATAGTTATAAAACTAATTTATGTATGATTCTTTAATCCTTTCCCTTGATATTCTTCTTCTTTTTTAATAAGTATCACTTTAACAATGGCTAAATAATACTCTAATGATCCCCTGCTGATGGACATTTAGAATGTTTTCAGTTCCGACTTTTTACATAATTCACATTCAAGAATTACATCTTTAAATAGACAGAGCAAAAAGTTCCTTGTAGGTATGTAATTGAAAGCTCCCAAAATGGAAAACTGGGAAGTAAGTCGAGTCTGGTTGATCCCCACCTACCTCCTTAAAGCATTTCCTTCTCTTTTTGGTCTTTTTTTACTGCCAGATAACCCTTCACATCATTTCATAATTCATATTTTAAATACTTCTAGTTTAGGCCATGGCCAAGTAGTTCAGTTGGTTAGAGCATCATCCTGATGCACCAAGGTTACAGGTTGGACCTCCCAGTCAGGGCACATGCAAGAGGCAACCAATGAATGCTAAATGAGTGGAACAATAAGTCAATGTTTCTCTTTCTCTCAAAATCAGTAAAAAATAAATTAATTAAAATACTTTTGGTTTAATAAATTATTGTTAATCATTTTTAATAGATTTTTAAAAATGTGTTCTGTCAGTGAACTAATTGGAGATATTTGTAATTTGATTGAGATAATAAAATTTTAAATTGAACTAGTTTATTACTTACGTCTAGAATAAAATTGTAGATGCCTCCTACTAATCATAATTTTTAAAAACTATCTATAGAAAATCACATGACCTCTTTGTGTTTTCTAGATATTTTGAGTCATTCTATAGGTTTATGGTCATATTTAACCTTTTATAAAGTATCCTAGCTATACATTAAAAATCATAGTTTAGTCTTGGGGTAGTCAAATCTGTATAATTTCAAGTAACATTGGTAGGGATCTTATTACTTTTAATTTAGATTTTTTTCTTTTAAAAAATCTTTGTCATTTTGTTATTCCCATTTTGGTAAACTAATTTCTTCAGTTTCCCTTATTATTGGCACAAATACTTGACTAAGCTATCAGAGTTCTTTGGAAATAATAAATAAAACAAATACATTCAGGCTTTATATGCATTTCCACAGTTAAAATTAATCTTTAGAAAATCAGATGGTCATTTAATTGTTAGAGAATAATCTTAAGAAAAAAAAGCAGAGTACAGTTTGCCAACCAAGCCAGGCTATGAAGAACTGGTACTACTAAACATTTTTTATTTAGCATTAGAATTAGGATTAATATTATTTAATCAGAACATAATTTCTCAGCAACACTGTGAAGTAGGTACTATTATTACCATTTTACTGAGGTTATGTGGGAGGTTTAAGCAACATGCCCAAGATCACACAGATACTGATTGATAGATGAACATGTATCTGTAGTTATAGCTTATCAGTTGACAGGTTTGGGTAGGGAAGTATAATTCACACTAAGCTTCCAGATAATGGAATAAGGCTTATGGAAATTCTTTTTCCTTTTTTTTTTAAGATTTTATTTATTTATTTTGAGAGAAGGGAAGGGAGGAAGAAAGAGAAGAAGAGAAAAATCAATGTGTGGTTGCCTCTTGAGCGCCCCCACCCACTGGCGGCCCTGGCCTGACTGGGAATCCAACCAGCATCCCTTTGGTTGGCAGGCCAGTGCTCCATCCACTGAGCTACACCAGCCACGGCTCAGGAAACTTCTTAATGGTCATTGCTGACTGGGTTCTTTCATGTGCTATTAAACAGAAGAGACACAATTTTTTAGGAATGTTTCTAAATTTTAAGAGTGATAACAATGGAGTCACTTATGCCCCTCTAAAATGTGTCCTTTTTTTTTCTTTCTAAAAAATTTTTATATTTCACAGCTATTGCAATTATTTCCCTCTTTGGCCCCCTCTGCCCAGCCTACCTCCCACTTTCATAGCCAGTCCCCACCCTTGTCCATGTCCATGGGTCTGTCACATATGTTCCTTGACTAATCCCTTCACCTTCTTTCAAACAGTCCCCTTTCCTTCTCCCCTCTTACCACTGTCAGTCTAGTCCATGATTCTGTGCCTCTGGTTCTATTTTGCTCATTAGTTTATAAAATGTGTCCTTTTGTGTCATTGTTGAGTGGGCCTGACAGACACTAGTTTAACCCACTTATTTTGCTCATAGAGTCTCCTTCTCTGGTTCCTTATTAAATATCAGATGTTCAATATGGGTATTATGTAGGTGTTTCTATATCAATTAAAAATTATACTTTGAACTACTGCAAAGCTACAGAAAAATTTATAGAAGATAATATAATGAACACTCACGTGCTTACTTTCTAACATGTCAGGCCTTAACTTTTTTCAAAGTGGCAGCTCTACTTATCTCACAAGAGATATGATACTATCGTACAATACAATTAAATAATAGAGGAGGAAGAATTTTATAAGATGCTAACAAAAGTTCTAAGTAAATATACAGGGTTATAGTATTTCTTATGTCTTTGCTTTATACATTGAAAGTATACCTTATTCTTATAAAATTGTGTCAATGTGGAGAACCTATATTGATTAGTCTTTTTTTTTTCTCATAATAGTAATGTTTTTAAGAGTAATAACTTTTTCCTATTTCAATGTCTGTCTTTAGAGAAGTAGCTGATTTTCAGCTTTCTGTGGATTCTCTGTTGGAGAACAATGACCATTCAAGACCAGGTATTCAAGTTCAAGCCACAAGATTGGCAGAGAAGGTACTTTAGCACTATTACCTTCTTTTGACTTTGTAATACACTTACTATTTTAAAGGAAAAAATACTCAGCAGGCTGTCTCACCAATGATAATGAATTTAATAATGTTTCTTCGTTGCAGGCTCCTTGGAAAATATTTAAATTCATTTTAGCCATGTACTATAAGATTAGGGTGATATTTCAGATTAGTTATAGAGCATTCCTTTTAAACTGGCAGTGTTCAATTTTTTATTCAACTACTTACAGGAGTACTGAAGTGGTTATTAAAATTACAGATTGAAGCTGGATAGACTTCTGGATTTAGGAGAACAAGCTTGATAAATTAAAGCAGTGGGTTGCACTTTTTAAAATGAGTTTCTGAGAAGACAAACATTAAAATATGAGAAGAAATGATTAAATGCAAATAGAATCATGGTTGCAGAGAGAAAGCCATTTAATAAACCTCTGTAATTTCTAATTTCTCTGATAAGTTTTGTATGTTAAAGAGGAATTGAAAGAATTGTAGAGAATAACCAAATTGTTAGGATAATATCATCAGAAAAGGCAGGTGTTGCACAAGTTTTTGTTTGTTTGTTTTATAAGGTTATTATACTGTGACACAAAAGAGGTATCTGGGCACCCTGTAGAATTGGAACAATGAAAGTCACTATCACAGAAAAAGATGTTTAAAGAATGAGTATGATAAAGGAGGTTTGATAGTTGAGTAAATATTTATTTGATCAAAAACCACCCCAGATGTTTATCAGGAATTATACCAGGAATAGAACCATCCTAACTACAATATTTAGTCTTAAAATAAAAACTATTGGCTCTTCAGTGGCAACAGGTATTTCTTCAAGTTCCATGGGTTTATTAGGTGCTTTGAATAGTTGGTTAAAATTTTAAGGCATGCTCACTGAAGACAAAGTATTTAAATTATTTACATTTTATTTAGCATACGCCGTGACAGAATGTCCTGTTCTGTGGCCCTCACAAAAGGAGGGTGAGATAAAAAATTTCATTGCATGTCCAGATACATAAGGTGGAGGTAAAGTGATGTTCTCTTTCTTCCATGTCAGATGGAGAATTTGCAGTGAGGGAATGAGAAAGAAGGAGAGACTCTAAATACAAAATACTGTTCTAGTCAGGAAAAGAAGAAAACTTGTTTACCCAGGTAGAATGATTGACTTAAAGGACTGGTTAAGGCCCAGGTTCAGAAATAATGACTGAGAGATGATCCACCTGCTGCCTTTGGACAGTTGAAAATCTGATAGTTTTAGAACTACAATTCAGGCTTATTTTATAACATACCTATTTTACTTGATTTGTTATCTTTTCAGCTCAAGTGTGATACGGTGGTGAGTGAAATCAGCACTGGTCAAGGGACTATAAATTTCAAAATAAATAGAGAACTATTAACAAAGGTAAGAATGAGTTATTACAGCTCTTGCATCTTCACTCACTGTCTGTTTTAGCTATTGTGGTTTCTGTCCAGTTCTTAAACTTATTGTGCCTCCTCTTGTCTCAAAGCTTTTGCACATTCTAATGAATCTGCCTGGAGTGCCACCTCACATTAACTGCTGCTTCTCCTTTAGATCTTGATATTTCCTGGGCAGTGGCTTTCTGACCCCTTCATGTATACACTCTCATAGCACTTTGTATCTCTCCTTGCAACACCTACCATAGTTTCTATTTTACATTCTTTTTATTTGATTAATGCCTGTTGTCCTTTAAACTCTAATTTCCATTAGGGCTTATAGTTTCTGTTAGAATTTCTAACTCACTATTGGATCCTCAGTTCCTAGCACAATGCCTGGCAAGTGGTAGGTGTGAGATAAATGTTGAATGAATTAATGGACTCTATATTGAATGTAAGAAAGGTACTGTTGGTTTCTGCTCTCTGGTAGCCTATAATTTGTTGGAAGCATAAGATTTATAAGACAGGGATCTTATAAATTTATAATACAGCTTCTTTTAATAAAACCATATCAAAGATGATTGGTACAATAAGCATAAGAAAAATCAAAGGTAGAGAAATCAGGATGTCCTGGAGGATTGGAGGAAATCACATAGAAGAATTGGGTCTCACATGAGTAAGACGATGGAGGACATGTACTCCTGGATAGGCAACAATATGAGACCTTTTGTTAAGAGTTTCATCTTGGTTAAACTTTAAAATTTATCATAATGCATGCTTTGGTGTATTATTTAAAAAAATAAAACACACACCAGTATCAAGTTGGTCAGACTTAGTAAATGCTGCCTGTTGAAAACAATTATAAAACCATAATTTCTAATAATATATTTTTGCACTGAAGCAGAGATACTATTTCATACTTGTCTGTAGGTCATTAGCCTTTTTTTTTTTTCATTCTTACTTCAAAGTAAATTAACCAAAATCCATGACAAGGACAAGAAGAAAAATTTTTTGAGCTTTTTAAAAAGTATCTACAACCTGCTGGCCTCTTGATAACACTTCATGTCAATTTAGCAAACCAGCCCAGGCTGGCGTGGCTCAGTGGTTTGAGAGCTGGCCTGCAAACCAAAAAGTCACTGTTTGAATTCTCAGTCAGGAATTGTGGGTTGTGGGCCAGGTACCCAGTTGGGGGCGTATGAGAAGTGACAGATCAATGTATCTCTACCTCTGTTTCTCTCTCCCTTCCTCTCTCTCTGAAAAATAAATAACATATTAGAAAAAAATTTAGCATGCCAACAAGTCTAATTTACCTTTTTTAAATAAGCAACTGTTCCAGTTGTTGTCTTAATTTTATTGAAGTAGAAATCCAACTCACCAAAGTGCCCACTAAGCTTTAGGCCATTTGATAGGCAGCAATATTGTACTGTTTTTGTTTCTCCTAAGATGGGAGACTGTGCTATAGTAGATGAAGTGTGCCTTTATAGCCATCTTACCTGAAAGAGATGTGGGGTTTTGTTTTTTTTTAAAGATTTTATTTATTTATTTTTAGAAGGAGGGGAGGGAGGAAGAAAGGGAGAGAAACATCAGTATATGAGAGAGAAGTTGCCTCTCGCACACCCCCAACTGGGGACCTGGCCTGCCACCCCGGTATGTGCCCTGACTGAGAATTGAACCAGTGACCTTTTGGTTCGCAGGCTGGCACTCAATCCACTGAGCCACACCAGCCAGGGCAAGATGTGGTTTTTATTTTAAGTCAATGTATAAGCCGTATTTAGCTGTGTATAATGCGCACAGTTTTGCCCAATTTTTTGAAGGAAAAATAAGGATATGTATTATACAAGGGTAGTACCGGAAATACCTTGTATCTGTTTCTTCTGTTTTGCAATTATTTCTTACATAAAATTTCTTGTACCATAATATGTTCAAAATAAATGCTAAAGTTCCTTTATAATATAAAAGCAACTTATCTAAATATAAATAAATTAAAAGTCGAATTAAAAAATTAAAACAAAAGAATTTTTTCTTGAAAGTTTGGACCAAAAACGTGGATACACATTATACACAGCAAAATACGGTATTTACTTAATAATTTAAACATTTAATGGCCATGAATTTTCATGTTTTATTACAATTAACAAACTGAGATTTTTCTCTGGTTTAAGAATGTCCACTAGCTTATTAAAAATATTTCCAAATCCTTTTCCATTAACAATGGAGAGAATAAGAGTTAGGCCTCTGAGGTCCAGCTATTCTTTCTCACATAGGAATTCTCCCTGCATTGTGGCCTTAAGGATCCGGATCTGAGTGTGACTTTTGATAAAGGAACAAGCCCATTGCTCACAGTAGCTAAGTAGTGAACACCCATAGCCTGAAAAAGGTGTATTGAAAGTGCCTATGTTATAAATTATAATGTTTTTAAAATATATTTTATTGATTATGCTATTACAGTTGTCCCAATATTTACCCCTTTGCCCCCCTCCAGCAATCCCCTCCTTAGTTTATGTCCATTGGTCATGCATGTAAGTTCTTTGGCATCTCCAATTCCTATATTATTCTTTTTTTTTTTAGTATATTTTATTGATTATGCTATTACAGTTGTCCCATTTTTTTTTCTCCTTTCTTCCCCCCCGCCGACTGCACCCCCCCCCCAACCAGCATTTTTCTCCCTCTTAGTTCATGGACCCTCCCACCAGCATCCCACCTCCCCCTTAGTTCATGTCCATGGGTCATACATATAAGTTCTTTGGCTTCTCCATTTCCTACACTATTCTTAACTTCCCCTGTCTGTTTTGTGCCTACCATTTATGCTTCTTACTCCCTCTAGTGGAGAAGGTCCTGAGCCCCAGAGTCCAAAGGCTTTTATTGAGAACTATATGCACAGGGGTGTGGGTGCAAAGATCATCAATCAATGTCAAAAGGCTGTGTTTACAGAAAACAGATAGAGATCATAGGTAACAATTGAAGGAACACAAGAGATCTGCCTCAGATCAGAGTCTATGAATAATGTAAATCTCCTTCCCAGTATAAGCTGGTTATCATAGCTTTTGAGGGAAGAACAAAGCATGCTTCAGGGAACTTACCTCTAGGCCTGGTTTCCCCCTGTGAATCGCCTGATCCAGTTTAGGGCTGTACCTGCCTTTAGTATTTTTTCAAGCCTGAGCCAGGCAGGCAGGGCAGAGCCGCCAAGAGATAAGATTTCTTTCAGATAGACTGAGGACTCTGGCCAAGTTCAAGCCGAGCCGAGGGGTGTGGGCCGTTTTGCCCTTGCTCCGTGTCCCCCAAGTCCTTGTCTGCTGCCCATACCAGCTATGTCTGTCTGAAGTCATCCCTCCTCTTGAGGAATCTTACCCATCATTGACTACCAACCATGATAGGGCCAAGCAGGGTGATGTGAGGGAGGCAGAGGCTGCACCCCTGCCAGGGGGACAGGTTTCGTCTCCTCAGTGGCCTGTTTTCTCAAGGCCTCCTTCATTATTTCCAGCCTTGCGGCCCTCTTGCCTGTCGGCGACGCTGAAGTCCCTGAAACCAAGCAAGATGGTTCCCAACACTCTCCACAGTTGGCTACCTGTAGATTTTTCTTTATTTCACTTAATGTAACCTTCATTTCCTCCCTTACATTTTTGCTGTACTCAATGAGTTCTTTGAGCACCCTGATCACTAGCAGTTTATTTTTTTTAAGTTTTTTTTTAATTTTATTATTTATTTTTAGAGAGAGGTAAAGGAAGGGAGAAAGAGGAAGGAAAACATAGATGTGTGAGAGATACATCCATCGGTTGCTTCTCTCACACCCCTGCTGGGGGCCCTGCCCGCAACCCAGGCATGTGCCCTGACTGGGAATCGAACTGGTGACCTTTTGGTCTATAGGCCATTACCAGTGTTTTGAACTCTGCATCTGATGATTTGGTTATCTGATTTCATTTAGTTCTTTTTCTGGGGTTTTGTTCTGTTCTTTCATTTGCGCCATATTTCTTTCTGTCCTCAATTCAGCAGCCTCCCTGTGTTTGTTTCTGTGTATTAGGTAGAGCTGCCTTGACTCCATTTAAAAGGCACCTGTAAATTGTGTGGAGCAGAATCTTAGGTAATCCGAGGGCAGAGTAACCTGCTTCACTGCCTGTGTGGGGGGAGGGCTCAGAGAAGGCACAATGCCTGTTGCCTGGCTTCTGGAGGTTTTCCCAGCAGTCGCTCCATTTTCAGTCACTTCACCCGCTTCCTGTATGCAGCTGACACCATACCAGCTGTTGCCCTGTTGGTGAATCCCAGAATGGGTGGATTTGTGTATAGTCTAGGACCATGTGAGCCCTTTAAATGAACTCTCCTGAAAATTTGGCAGTTTCTTCTGCTGCCCCAACCTCCACTGGTTTTTATAGCCAGCAGTTAGGGGGATTTATCTTCCTGGCACTGGAACCCTGGGCTGTGTGGTCTGGCCTGGGGCTGGGATCGCTTGCTCCCAAGGTGTCCCTCCTGATTTTTGTCTACCACACATGAATGTGGGACTGCCCAAGCCACTGCTGCCACCACCTCTCTGCACCACACCACCTTTCCGCCCACCTGCTCTACTCCACGCCCCCACCCGTCTGGATGAATGTGGCTTCTTTAAATCCTTGGTTGTCAGACTTCCATACAGCTCTATTTTCTGACAGTTCTGGTTATTTGTTTTGAAAACTAGTTGTAATTTTTTCTGTGATTGCGTCAGGAGGTGAAGTATGTCTACCTATGCCTCCATCTTGACCAGAAGTCATAAATTACAATTCTTTTTTGCTCAAAGTCTAACTTCTCCTACATCTGGCTCCACTATTTCTGTCCTTAAACAGTGATCATTTGCATGACTAATGAATTTTTCAGATCATATCAAGAAAAATATTCAACTCTTTTAGAACCATTAGAAATTTTTTTTTTACGTTTTAGATCTATTAAGATTGACATGTAACCAGTGATTTATGTCCAAAACTTATTCCTCAAGCAGAGAATTATGAATTTGTCATTGCTAACACATGTACCAACTTACATGAGCACAAAACATTATCTATTCATGAGTTGCGGTTGAGTTATTAGCACTGCCAGCACCAGGGATGATTAAATGTTAGCTTAAATTTGAATCACGAATAGTGGCTTACAATCTCTTCATATAAATCATTCTCAAAAGTAGGAGGCTAAAATGTGAAATGAAGTGCAATAGAAACTGCCAGGTCTCTGGCTAGACCATAAATTTTCAAAGCTGGAAGATACTAGTCAATTCATACATGGTGAAGAACTATGACTTTGGTACCAGACTTCAGCCTATTAGTAGCTTATGGATAACTTTAAAGAGAAACTGTAACTTCAAGTAATAGTTAATTCGGATTGGGGAAGGAAAAAAGAAAAGAATTTAGCTAGGAAAGGGGCTACCAAAATCCTATTTTTTAGGTGTGCCTTAGAAATACACAGTGGATAACATCATTTTAATTTCACATATATGCATGCATTTTTTATTTGCCAAATTCAGTATTGCATGCTCTACTAAGACTTAAGAAAAACAAGATACTGACTCAAATGGTTCTAATTCTGCTCATTATTTCACTGATTAAGTTATGTCAGTAGGCAGCCAGGATGCATTCAATTCATATGTAGTGTCAGTTGGTTGAACATACAGAAATAGTAAATAATTAAGCACTTTCCACTATTGACCAAAGAATTGACTAGACAAATAGATAGTGGTAGCTTGCTTATAAGTCCTGTTGAGAGCTGTGGAGAGATAGCAACCAGCAAAGAGTTAGGTTAAATGACAGAAGTCATCCACAGAAAAATGATGGTGATAGACAAAAAGTGCCAGCCAATTAGAGTATTTGTTAATTTCTTAAAGCACTCCAAAAAGTGAAAACTTTGAAAGATTTAATTTCTGATTGGAAACTTATTATGCACCTATATTTACATTGCTGAGTAAATCTTACATTTAGACATATTGATGAATAGATGGGCCTGTAGCTTGTTCATCTATTGGAATTGAGGGAATTTACTAGCTCACTGCCATTCAAGAGTTAGTAGCTTTCTTCTGTGTGCCCACTAATTTAATAAACCTGTGCTTATTATTTACCAGGGATTATATTACTGAAATCTAAAGATAAAATGTCATAGCTCCTACTCTCAAGGAGCTTATGCTCAAAAAGAAATAAAAAATAGTGTGATGTGTTTTGGGTATAATAATGTGTTGACTAATAAAATGGAGGCATGTTTAAAATTGCAGTCCAGTGTAAAGAAAGGTACATTCAAGTCTGCCTTGAGGGAAGAGGAATAACCTTGAATTGAGATAAAGATAAAGAAGAATTTACCTGGGAGATACAAAGGCAGGCATTCCAGGCAGAGAGGACAGCTTGGGCCAGAATACAGTCAAGAACATGGCATTGTCTGGAAATCAGCAGGTGATTGAGTATGTTTTGCACATAGGATGATGTAGTGGAGGATATGAAATTATATACTGTGAAGGGCCTTATATGCTCTGCATAAAGAGTTTTAGTGTTTTTCTGTGTGTACCACAGGTGGTACATATGATTTTTGGTATAACACTAATAAAATTTCATTTAATAGTTATATGATTGACTCTTGTACAACACCAGTTTGAACTACATGGGTCCACTTATACATGGATTTTTTTCAATAAATACTGTAAATGCATTTTCCTTATGATTTTCTTAACATTTTTTCTCTAGCTTTATTGTAAGAATACAGTACAGAATACATATAACATACAAAAATGTGTTAATAAACTGTTTATCAGTAAGGCTTCCTGTCAGCAGTAGGCTATTAGTAGTTTGGGGGGAGTCAAAAATTATACATGGATTTTCGACTGCACTGGGGGTCAGTGCTCCTAACCCCCGTGTTCTTCAATGGCTAACTGCATTTATATGTACATTATATAAGAGGATAGGTGTTATTGCTTTGTTGTTTTGTAGTGATATAACTGACGTATGATGGGGACAGAGGATATAACTACAATGATGTTTAGTTATCATTAGATAGCATGAGCTTGGTTTGGTGATTAATACCTGATTTGTTGTGGATATTAGGGAGGGAAAAGCGTAATCTTAGGAACTCCTAGGTTTTAGACTTGGCTAGCTGGGGGTAAAGATCATGGAAATGGAGAACACAGAAGGAAGTGAAGTGTTGGGTTGGCCAAAAAGTTTGTTTGGTTTTTTCCCTAAGATGGCTCTAATAGCACTTAGTTGTCTTTAATTTCATTTGAAACGATTGTGTTAGACTGTATTGTAACAGCTGTCCTATCAGCATGCATTTTTTTAAAAAGTATCAAAATCAAATTTTTGTGTAGCCATTTTAATGTTGAAGATGGAAGAAAATACACAACATTTTCAGCATATTACGCTTTATTATTTCAAGAAAGGTAAAAACACAACTGAAACACACACAAGATTTGTGGAGTATTTGGACAAGGTGCTGTGATTTACCAAACATGTCAAAAGTGGTTTGCAAAGTACTGTGCTAGAGATTTCTCGCTGGAAGATGCTCCACATCCAGGTAGGCTCATTGAAGTTGACAGTGATCAAATCAAGACATTAATTGAAAATAATCAATGCGGGAGATAGCTGACGTACTCAAAATATCCAAATCAGTAAAGTTATTGGTGAAAATGAAATATGCGTCTTTTATTTTATGGAAAAAATGAACTTTTGGCCAACCCAATATATTCTGTTTCAAGTACTTGAGAGAGCTGTCCAACCCTGTGCTGGATATATCACTCTGTGGCACAGGAGATAACTTGCTAGGTAAGTAATAGTTGAAGTCTTAGCAATTTATACCTAGGGGATGTGTAATGTAAATAGCAAGAAGCAAGGAAGGAGTGCAGGATGGGAATTGGAGGGACAGGCATTGGAAGAAGAGCCTGCAAAGAAAACCAAGAGGCAAAAGTCAGTAGAGAGTGGTCATTACAACTAAGGACACAGGGTCGTTGCAAGAAGACAGTAGTCATCAGCTAAGATAGTGTGTGAAAAGTGGTTATCCCTGGGGAAGGCCAGAAGGGACCAAGGAATCAAAAGGGACTCTAGACTTGAGCCTTACCTTAATTGTTTATTTTTTTATTTTACAAGAAGAATGTATTCATAAAAGTAACATATTAAAATTTAAGCATTCATTTAGGTTTGACATTTAGAATTTTGCTTGAAGAGCGCTTTCAGTGAAATAGAGAAAAAAGCTCTAGGTGACAGGTGGGTCAGATTGTTGGAATGTTTGGAAGTGAAGCATATAAGATAGTTCTTTATTAAAGTTACTTCTTTTGTTTGTGCCAGAGAAATCAATGAACTCAGAACCATTTGTTAAAAAGAATTCTAATTTATTGCTATTACCATTTGTGGAGTCTAACATCCATTTTATAAAAAGGGATGGAAAGTGAAAAAGATGGGTAGACTTTAACTTTAGAATAATCTGCATATGAATTACTTCTCAGTTTACCTCCCTACTTGCAGTCTTCTTGTACCACATATTCTTGAAGTAATTAACATTAGTAGGCACCTAGTATATGGCAGGCTCTATTTTCTTTAATGTCTATATGCTTATTAACCCTTTATTTCTGTGTCCCACTGTACAGTGTGAGTGAAGAGAATGTTTTCTCTGTGTCCTTGGGCAAATGCATACTGTTCCTGAATCTTAGTTTTTGCAGCTGTTTGGTGGGAAATGTTGCTCACCTCTGATTGTGAGGCTTAGAGATAACATAAAAACATCTAGACTTGAACCTACCACTCTGTAGATGCATCTTAAAAGGACTACTTTGCTGCTTCCTGCTTTCTGCCTTTTCCATTAAGTGACCATCTTAACTAACTCTCATTTATGTTAGTGACATTCTTCACATCATAAACTGCATATTTAGGACTCAGAATCCAGTTTGAAAAGCAAAACCAATATAAGTAAGTAAAAGTCTATCGCAGTAAATTCAAAACCCTAAAATAAATAAATTACCACCATTAGCAAAAAAATAAAATACCAATTTTATGAACTATACAATAGTCCTGTGTTAATAACTAAAAATTAACCTGGACTGTTTTGGCTGTTTCTATAATATTTCCTGGTTTTTACTAACATAGCCAATAGGCATTTGAATTCTAATTTTTTATTTGTTTTCTACCATTGCTTGTGATCATTCATATCACAAAAGTAGCAGCAGCATGCAATAGTTAGCATATAAGCTATAGAGTTAAAACAATTTTTGCTACATGACTTAATAGCCGTATGACCTTGAGTAAGTTACTTTACTTCTCTGTGCTCCTATTTCCTCATTTGTAAAAATCATGCATATCTCTTAAGGTTGTTGTGAGGGTTAAATGAGTATATACATAGAAAATGCCCAGAACAGTGCCTGACACATAGTATGCAGTCAATAAAATATTAGATGCTGCTCCTGGTTTTGTTGTAATCAATACTATTTGCTGTGGGGCTTCTGGCATTTACATAACCTACCTAAATGTCAGTTTCTTCACCTGTAAAATACCTACATCATTAATCACTGTGAGGAGGAATAGACAGGATGTATAAAAGAGCACAGTCCCCATAGATATGAACTCAAGAAGTTGGTGCTGCTGACAGAGCTATAAAATTCTCAGTTCCATAAATTAGAATAAACAAATCAGCCAATTTAGTTTCTAGTAACAAAGTAGTTTTAAAAATTGCAGTTTTTTCTATCATTAAATCCCAGCCTTTACTTTTCAGACAGTGCTAAATCAAGTCATTGAAGATGGCTGTAAATATGGATTGAAAAGTGAGCTTTTCTCTGGTCTTCCCCAGAAAAAGATTGTGGTGGAATTCAGGTGAGTGCCTACTCTTCTTATGTGTTGGTTAATCAGTTGGCTGAGAAGGTGGGTATTTTACTGTTACCATCTGAGGTCTCATGAAATTACAGGTGGAAAAACTGAAAACCAGTGAGATTATATTATTTTCTTAAAATCACAGTGAATTGAATAAAAATTGTTGTACTCCAATAAAAAGAAAGTCTAGTGATTTTTATGGACTCTTTTCTTTTTTTGAATTAAGTATTTAACAGCTACTTTTTTGGGCAGAACTAGTTCTTCATTTTAGTAAACTTTTAAAATAGAGGTAATGGTTACTACCATATTAAGAATTTTAAAGTAATTTGATTACCAAGGAATAAGCCTTGTACTATTTGGAATATGTAATTTTAAAAATTATCAGAAAAGTAGCTTGAAGTCTTAATGTATCTCTAAATAGTCTTCTTAATAACTTTCTGATACGCTATGTGTGCAACTGTCTAATATTTCAACAGTTTTTAAGTAACCAAAAAAGGAAAGGAAACACTTTCAGAGTATAATTGAGAGGTTGACCGCTTGTGAAAATTATCAGAGATACTGAATTTGCCTTCCTAAAACCTGAAGAGTCTTAATGAATTTTTTTTCTGATACAGGGAGGCAGAACTTGCTAGAGCCTTTTGTTTCCTTTAGTATATATTTCTGTGGAGGATTTTTAAAAATTTATATGGGAAATAAGATTTTGGGTTTTCTAACTCATAATTTTTGAGGATAACTGAATTCAATTTAGAGATTATTAACACCTACATAATAACAGAAGCAAGTGGGCTTTACGGATTCCACATTTGCACTGCCTCTGCCATTTGTGTTCTTAGAAAAGACTTGCTGGGTGCACCAGAGGAAAGTGGTGGAGGGAAAATGGAGACAACTGTACTTGAACAACAACAAAAAATAAATAAGTAAAAAGTACTGGAGGGGGGGGAAGAAAAGACATCCTAAAAGACTCAGTAAACTCATCTGTTTATGATAAGTACTGATTGCCAAGTAAACTAATGTTCCTATGGAGCAGTCAGAGAATATGAATAAATCTTATACTAGCAGTGCACCTCAATCATGATACTTAAAAGTTAAGTTTAAACATTTTTTGTATCACAGAGAGGAGGACTTCATGTGGTCACCCTGAGGCAACATTCCAAAACAATTTGCCTGTCATTTCAGTTACCTCCTCTTGCATTACTTCAAAACTCAGTACAGGGCCCTGGCTGGTGTGGCTCAGTGGGTTGAGCACCAACCTGCAAACCAAAGGGTCACTGGTTCGATTCCCAGGCAGGGCATAAGCCTCTGGGTTGCAGACCAGGTCTCCAGTTGGGGGCGTGCAAGAGGCAACCACACATTGATGTTTCTTTCCCTCTTTCTCCCTCCTTTCCCCTCTGTCTAAAACTAAAGAAATTTCTTTTTAAAAAATCAGCTTTATTGAGGTATAATTACATACAATACAGTACAGTTTACCATATTTCAGCATATAATTTGATGAGTTTTAGCAAAGGTGTACAGGTCCTGTAACCACCACTACAATTATATATAGTAATAGAACATTTCTATCCTTTTTTTCCTATTTTATTGATTTTTGTTTTTCTCTGTTATTCTCTTTTATCCTGCTTACTTTGGTCCTCCTTTTCTAGTTTTTTAAAGGAAAATCTTAGATTATTGATTTGAAACGTTTTCTCTTTTCCCATACAAACATTTCGTACTGGAAATTTTTCTTCTTTGCTCCCAAATTTGCTATTAAGGCAGTCCTGGGATTACCTTGTTTGTTCTCGTTCTTTCAGGAACCATAGACTTTAACTATCTAGTTTTATAAAACTAATGTTTTATCTATTTTTCCGACTTACTGGGTAATTCATCTTTTTAATATAAAAAAAGTATGAAAATTTCAAATATACACAAAACAGAGAAGTAAAATTAAATCCTATATACTCATCACCCAGATTCAAGTCATCAGGATATTGCCACATTTCTTTACTTCTTTTCCTTGTTGTCTTAGTTCCCTCATCTATAAAATAAGAGATTAAGAGTACATTACTTCACACTTCTTATGAGTATTGAGTTAATGCGTGTAAAGTGCATAAAACTGCCTGTTAATAGTGAGTGCCTTAGAAGCATTTGTACTGTTAAATTATTGATTAAAACTTCTTAAGCACATGGGAGTGATGAAGGTGTTGATTGTGAATTTGGAGTGGTGAATCAGATTTCTGATTATTGTGGGAAGATTAATTCATAAATATTTTTTACATTTTTCTCTTGATTTCTGATGCAGTAAATATTGGTAGATACTACCCATACAAACAAAATTTCTTTGAGGTCCTCAATAATTGTTAATAGGATAAAGGATTTGTGAACTGGTGCACTAAATTTAATTCCCTATTATCAACAGGGTTTGTGTCAAAACAGTATTTCTGAATTTCTTCGTTCTTTTTTTAAATCAATCCTTATATGTACCTGCTTCTTCTAAAGTGTGCCACTTCTTTGTATGATACAGCCTCATTAATCACAGGGTCAGTTTCACTAAGGATGATTCTTTGAGTTCTAACTTATCTTTTCCCCAAATTACCAAAGGCCTGAGGCCCCAAATGTGTTAAATTGTGGAGGCATGATCTAGTTCATTTTAGAACTCTTGTTCTTACAACAGAAATATAACTTTTGCAATTATTTGCAGTTCACCTAACATTGCCAAAAAATTTCATGTTGGACATTTGCGTTCTACCATCATAGGTAAGTGTCATTTCACAGAAAATACTAAATGTGTCTTTGGAGCAGTATTCAATAATTCAGTCTAATGGTTTGATGCTTAAATAACAATAGAAAAAAATTCGAATTTATATGAGCTTGATGCTAATTAAATATTATGTGAAATGGGGAAAATTTGTTTAAAAGTGGAAAAAAGAAATTTGTTCTAAACCAAAAGATTAACTCAGAAACCAGTTTTAACTGGTATATTTGTTATGATTTTAACTTTTTAAAAGTAAAAAAAGTGTATGTATGTGAGAAAATCCAAAAAAATGTAAAAAAGGAAAATAATTATGTAGAGATGGTAATAATCTTTCCCAATTTTTTGTTCATGTGTTTTGTTTTAAAAAAAGAAACAATGTTCTATGTCAATTATATCTCAATTTAAAAAAAGAAAAAGAAAATCTTAGTGATGGGTTTACTAACTGCAGTGTTCAATGCTGGAAAATGAAACAAGTCTGTTCTAATAGAGATTACTATTGTACTTCAGAGCTATAATGTTTTAGTGCAGTGATTTCAGCCTTTTTTTATCTCATGGCACAGATAAGCTAATTAATAAAATTCTGCTGCACACCAAAAAATATATTCTATTTTTTTGCCAATCTGACCAGAAACAAAATGGGTGTAATTTTGATTCATTCACACGAGAATGTGTTGTGTTGGCTGTTGTCATTTTTTTATTTGACAGTCTAGGAGAAAAGAGGTCACTGCCCCTGATTGAGTATGTAGTCAGGTATTGCATGTTTTAAAAACTCTGGCAGCACAGCAGTGTGCCTCTTGAAGCACACCAGTTGAAAATCACTACTTTAATGTATAGGTTTATGATTTTTATATATTTTAAACAATATAATGCAGCAGTACAATTTAAAAACTGCAATTACGATTGGAACTGACTTTGAAGTTTATCTCATCTAGTCTGCCTTCCAGTATAGAAGTCTGTCTATTACACGCGTAAGAGAAAGTCATTTAACCCATACTTGAATAATTCTAGGAACTGGAGAAATCAGTTGTGACATACATTATTATTAAACTGGAGTCAGCTTTCTCTGTTAAAAAGTTCTCAAGCTGAATTTTAAGAGAAGAAATGATAGGACTTGATTAAAAAAAAGTATAACAAATACACAGTGTAAGGAAAGCTACATGAGTAAGTCAAAAGTAAAGGACTGATGAAAAGGAAAGATGGATAGATCATGATAAAGTTGTTTAATAGTTGTTAAGGGAACTTTTAGGATCAGGAAAAGAGAATATTTATTGAGAATTTACTTGGTAAAGTGAGCTATTTAGAAATAAAAGCAATATTGCTCAGGTTCTTTAGGGCATAGCCAAATTACTTCTTATTAATTACTAAGATGGTGTTATTTTCTGTCCTTGGCATTGATTTGTATTAATTACTAAGATGGTGTTATTTTCTGTCCTTGGCATTGATTTGGAGATGTCCCCTATTCCCATTAATGTTAATAAAATCTCTGTTCTTATGAACATTAGGAGATTCTTTGTAATAACTGCCCCCCCAATAATTCCTTACTTTCGATAACATAGATGAGAACACAATAATTAATGTTTTAATTAAAAAAAACTGAGTTGATGAATTTTGCCAAAAGATATTTCTGTATTATACTTTAATAATAGAGAACCACGTGGTTCTTATGCCAAAATGGATAACAAGAATGAGAAACTATATGTTGTGTTCATTACTAGGAAATTTCATAGCAAATTTCAAAGAAGCTTTAGGACATCAAGTAACCAGAATAAATTACCTTGGAGATTGGGGCATGCAGTTTGGTAAGTTTGAGATTTTATTTTTCATTTCACTCTTAAATTTAATATGTTTTAATATCAGGTCACCTGATCATCTGGACAGAATATAGGCAGAATCTCAATTAGATAAAGTAGTGCTTCCTACCTATTTTTTTTCTTCCTAATGGCTCTTTTGCATAAATCTTGTATTCTATTTATCAGAGTAATTCAAACTACTCAAGTAAGTTTTGAGGGAGGAAACTTCACACATTTAGAAAAACACCCAATAAATATAGACTTTTGTGGTTTCATTAAAGAAAAATAGCTTATATTTGTGAGTTAAGTGTAGAAATGAATACACAGGGAAGAAGTTGAGTATAGCTATATTCACCCTTCTCAGCCACAGACCCACCTCTTTATTTTAAAAAATTTTATTTATTCATTCTTAGAGAGAGGGGAAGAGAGGGAGAAAGATAAGGAGAGAAACATTGACCCATTGCCTCTCACATGTGCCCCAGCTGGGGACCTAGCCCACAACTCAAGTATGTTCCCTGACTGGGAATCAAACCAGCGACCTTTCTCTTTGCAGGATGATGCCCAAACAACTGAGCCACAGAGGTCAGAGTGGTCCACCAATTTTTTTTTTTTTTTAAGATTGTATTATTTATTTATTTTTAGAGAGAGAGGGAGAGAAACATTGATAGGTTGCTTCTCCTATGTGTCCCAACCAGGGACTAAACTTACACAACCCAGGCATGTGCCCTGACAAGAAATTGAACTGGTAACCTTTCACTTTGCAGGACAACACCCAGCCAACTGAGCCACACTGTCCAGGGTATGAGCCACCATTTTTAAAACAGGGAAGTCCAGCCTCCGTGGGCCATCCCACATGTTTTTATATCCTCGGCCCATGATCTAGAGGAAAAACAAAGAGGAAAAGAGGAGTAGGACCCAGACAGATGAATGTGACAAATTATCCCCAATATCAAGAATTTAGTCAGAATCATTCTTAGCTCATATACACCAGTAATCAGGGTATAGAAGGGCAAGACAAATGTAGTTGCTAAGGTGGGGAAGGACAGGTAACATGTAAAATGCAGTTTTAAAAAATCTCTGGCAACTACTATGTATGTCTTTAAGACCCAGCCCTTACAGTATCACCTCTGTAAAGCATTGACACAAGACACATCCTTCCTTGCCCACCTTCTCACATCACTACATTCCTAGTACCCAGTGCTAGTCAAATAGACTTCCGCCTCACTGTTTTATTTGTGTGCTTCTCTCCCTGCTAGATAATGTGTTTTTTGAGGGCATGGAGTGTATCTTAATTATTTTTGTATCCATGGCACATAAGAGGCCCTTAGAATGATGAACGACTCTGTCCTGGGATGTATTTTATAATACTAATCCAAAGGAACGGCTAGGTAATATTTTAAAGCTTCTATAAAGTACAATGTGCACTGCCAGTTCTAAAGTTCACTGGTAATATTATGTTCCATATCTAGTGAAATGAAATCAAAGCTTTCAAAAGACAGGCCTATCGTGACCTACTCTTATATTATTCTTCCAGTTAATAAAAATCTTTTTTAGACCTTAAAAAGGTTTGAATTTAAATCTGTTCTTATATCCACTGTGCTTTTATGTGGAGGAATTAGAGAATGCCCTGCATTTTAAAAACCTACCTGCAGTTCACAGCAGCTGGTAGTCAGGGGTTTAGGCTCTAGGCTCAACCATCAGATTTAATAGATGGTGTCCGCTTTGCATTAGTTTGACCAATTTAAGGCATTTCACAGGCATTAGCAAATATGTGATTATGGTAGTCATAAAATTTGAACTGCAGGATTTTATTATAGCTGTTTTTTCTCTAAAGAACTGCAGTGCTTAATGATCTGTCAACATTTCCATTATAACCGTCATTGTTGAAGAGTTTTAATTTTGGTTGTTTCAGCTATCCCCTATTGAAAGTTGGCAGACGTTCCAAGGCACAGAATTAGTTTTTGAAAATATGTTAGGTGAAATGTTAAATGGCATTGGCCCTTACTTTTCCTATTTCTGTTTTTTTAGAAACCTCAGCATCTTTCCAAACCCTGCTTGCTCCCAAGACTCTGAATCACAATCATATATGCTTTTACTTGAAATTGAATAGAACTGGTACATATTTTAGTCATCCTTCTAGTCCTTTCTAAGCTCCAAAGTAGTATACTCTTATATGCATGTGTTCAGTAGCATCCCACTTTCTGCTGAGCCAGTATAGAAAAAAGTACATCAATCTGCAAGGCCCAGTGTTAGTAGCTCCTTTAGAGCTGAAGCTTGGTAATTGATATAGTTATAGAAAGATGCTTTTTTAAATAAACTATAATACCTTCTATTGCTGTTGGCCCCACACTGCAGATACCCTTTCAAACTGAAATTGTGATCATCCTTTAGCACAGTATCTTAAATACTCACAGTCCATACTAGGTGTTTTCATTGCTGGTTTGTAAACTTCAATTACTTTTTTTTAAAGGTTCAAATTAACACTGTCTCTGAATGATGAACTTATCATCAAAGACTAAAAAAAAAAGTCATTCACAAAAGTTGGCCAGATAAAAGAATTTTGTTGCTTGGTCACTTCTGAATGAGAGAAGTAATCATGGATGTTTCAAGTTTTATTTTTTTATTGCTTAAATTCAATTGTTTGTTTAAGAAGTAATATTATAAGACCAAGATAATTCTTACCTTTGTTTTATTTTAATATCTACAAGTTTAAAAAAAAAAAACAAACCAACATGATGCCCAGTGCCAAGCATCATGTTTTCCCCAGGGTAGCTGCCCAACAAATGATTCTTTTCTTATGTCTGCTAGGGAGCTGTTGAACATTGTTAGTACAAAGAGAAACTAGTTTTAGGGCCTGCCTTTCATGAGTTCATATTGGTTTCTGTGAAATTAATTTTAGTAATTGATCCATTTCAACCTATTGACTTTATGATTCAATATATTGAATTTGACTTGTGTCAATTTATGGGGTAGCAGAAGGTGATATAGTATGTGTTTGCAATGTTCTCAAGATACATAATTGTGGGAGATTGATCTTTTTATAGAACTATACCTGTTCTCTGCTATGATTGTTCTCTACTGTTCCATTTTATGTTTTCATTTACGAACTATTGTGGTAGGTCTTCTGGGAACTGGATTCCAACTATTTGGCTATGAAGAAAAACTCCAGTCCAATCCTTTACAGCATCTCTTTGAAGTAAGTTGTCAAGAAACAACATTAGAAAATACTCCAGCTTTCTTTTTTCCAGAGTTCTATGCAGCTTGGTAACACATTTTTAGTCCCAGAGGTTTTAACAAAAGTTCCTTAAAACAAGAAACAAAAAAATTGAAAATGTTGCTTTTATTTTACTAGGGAGTTCTTTTAATTTTAAAATCCAAATGTTCTTTTATTACTATTTTAGTTGATTTGAGACAGTAGTTCTCCAGGTATAGAATCATCTAAAAATAAACACATAGGATAAGAATTTAACACAGAAATTTCTCAAATTTGTGTCATTTGCTATATGCTGCAGCTTTCTTCATGGTAGTAACTACAATTCATTTGGACTTGAAAAACATGGGAATATAGTGTTTTGCTCTTGTTCCAATGTGAAGGAAGGAGGGTGTGTTTCTCTCTGAATCTGTACATATTTTTTTATTTCTAGCTTTTGGCCTCTTTTTCCTGGCTCATGTCCAATGTGAACTCCTTTCTATTCTAATTCATTTAGTTCTGTCATGTCTCTGTCATCAGTCCTTCCTGGAGTTCATTAATAAAACTCTTCCTGTCCAATTAATCTCCGGGGATGTGTTTCCTTTTCATTGCCTCAGTTGTTCATCTCTGCTAATTCTGAGCCTCACAAAAGTGCAAATACACCTTCAGCCATGTTGGTGACAGACCAGGGAATCAAATTAAAGATGTTATGACCTGTGTATGAACAACTGTGTGTGCCGAAATAATGCTTTTCTCCTCTAGCCAAAGCCACAGAGAGTACTTCATTGTTTTTCTTTTTATTAAATGGTTTTCCTCCTGCAGCTGGCTTTGTCATTAAATTTAACAAAAATAAATTCTAATTCCTATCTTTAAAAGTTTGTCATTTCTGCCTGAATCTATGCCTACAATGCAATTTAAATGCCTACATTTTGATTTATAATATTAACAAGACATATTTTTCTCTCCAATTAAGAGTTTATGGATAGGCAAGAGTTTAAAAATTAATAATTCTTTATGGTTTTCTGTAAGTAAAGCATGCCACCTTAGTACTTGGAATTGCTGCTGTATTCTTTTGTTAAACTTTGAATAATGGCAAGTATTCTTTACCACAAGCATAGTGAACTTTTTCATCAGATCCAGGCGCACAGAGACAATCCATGGTGCACAGTATACAAACCTGCTTGGAGACCTTCTGTCCTTGAGAGAACATTTTTAAGAATTTAAAGTCTAGGGACTTCTGGTCAAGATGGTGGCATAGATAGACATGGCTTGCCTCTTCGCACAACCACATCAAAATTACAGCTACAATATGGAACAGCTGTCGCTCACAACCATCACAAATTGAGTTGAATGGAAGCCCGATAACTATGGAATTAAAGAAACCACATCCATCCAAACTGGTAGGAGGGGCGCACATGCGGAACAGGCTGGTCCCTCACCCATATGTGGAGGATAAAAATTTAGGAGGAATATCTTGGGACCAAGGAGTCCCAGCCCCATTCCAGGATCCCGAGCCCAGGGTTCCAGTACCAGGAAGATAAGTCTCTACAACTTCTGGCTGTAAAAACCAGCCGGGATTGTGTCTGTGGAAATTTCTGGAGCCCTAAACAGTTCCTCTTAAAGAACCCACATACAGACTAACCTATACAGACTTCCTCCCTCGGAGCTCCAGCACAAGGGTTAACAGCTTGAAAGGCACCAGTGGCATAAACGGAGGAACTGAAGTGTCTGGCATCAAGGTGAGCAAAGGCCATGTACCTTTTCTAAACCTTCCTGCTGCAGAGCCACAGAGCCAGCAGGCGAGTGCTGTATCTGAGACTCCATCAACCTTGCTAACATTGTTTGACCTGCCTTGGAGATCACCAGAGACTCCATCTCACTCAACTTGGGGGCCCACCCAAGCTTCATTTCCATATGAATGATTGGTGTTGGCTCTTGCTTCACAATTTCCTAAATCCTATCCAACAAGCCACAGCTGGCCTCAATGAGCCCCACCCCCGGCACTAGCAGCAGCCAGCCTACATTCACAACTAGGCTTTGCCTGGGGATCTCCAAGCCCAGCAAAAGGAGCAGCCATCTCAGATTGCTTTATAGCTCAAGTAGGGTTGTCCCGGGCAAAACACAGGTGGGAGCTGACCTTGGCTTGCACCACCCAGGAAACCCAAGGGCCAGCACACCCAGTGGACAGCTACAGACCACCTCAGACCTCCACCACCCTGCCCCTGCACAGTTGATCCTCCACAGAGGGTGGAGGTTGGTGGTCAGTAGTCACAGCCAGTCCTTGCCGCTGACTGGCCTGGGTAAATCCCTCCCATTGATTTGCCAGCAGCAGCCAAGGCTCAACTACAAGAGGAGGGTGTACTCAGCTCACACAAAGGGTGCATCTTGAGTACCCAGCTTGGGTGATAGGGGAGGCTGTGCCACTGGACCCTACAGGACACCTACTATATTAGGCCACACTACCAAGACATGGAGTCATAGCAGCTCTACCTAATACATAGAAGCAAACACAGGGAGGCTGCCAAAACAAGACAAAGAAATATGGCATTATTTCAAAAAAAAAATGAAGAACAGATCAAAAGTCCAGAAAAAGAACCAAACAAAAGGGAGATAATCTATCAGCTACAGTTCAAAACACTGGTTATAAGGATGCTTAAGGAGCTTAGTGAGGACCTTGACAGCATAAAAAATATCCAGTCAGAAATGAAGGATACACTAAATGAAATAAAGAACAATTTACAGGTAAACAATGCTAGAGTGAATAAAGCTGAGAATCAAATCAATGATTTGGAGCATAAGGAAGCAAAAACAACCAATCAGAACAACAAGAAAAAAATCCAAAAAAAATGAGGATAGTATAAGCAGCCTCTGGGACAGCTTCAAGTTTTATATATTCACATTGTAGGGGTGCTAGAAGGAGAAGAGAAAGAACAAGAAATTGGAAACCTATTTGAAAAAAAATAATAAAACTTCCCTAATTTGGTGAAGGAAATAGGCATGCAAGTCCAGGAAGCACAGACAGTCCCAAACAAGATGGATGCAAAGAGACCCACTCCAAGACACATCATAATTAAAATGCCAAAGGTTAAAGATAAAGAGAGAATCTTAAAAGCAGCCAGAGGAAATCAGTTATTTACCTACAGAGAAATTCTCATAAGACTGTCAGCTGATTTCTCCACAAGAAACTGCAAGCTGAGGGATTGACAAGAAATACTTAAAGTCACAAAAATCAGGCACCTACAGCCAAGATTACTCTACCCAGCAAAGATATATCATCTAGAATCAAAGGACAAAGAGTTTCCCATACAAGAAAAAAATAAAGGAGTTCATCACTAGGCCATTATTGCATGAAATGATAAAGGGAATTATTTAAGAAAAAGTAAAATCAGAACTATAAACAACAAAATGGCAAAAATATATATCTAATTGAGTCTAAGAAACAAACTAAGGAAACAAGAAGAACAGAGACAGAATCATGGCTACAGAGAGTGTTGATGGTTGCCAGATGGGAGTTGGGTGTCGGAGAATGGGTGAAGAGGTGAGGGGGTAAGTACAAATAGGTAGTTACAGAATAGCCATGGGGATGTAAAGTATAGGAAATGGAGTAGCCAAAGAACTTACACACATGGACCATGGACATGAACAATGGTGCTGAGATTGCCTGAGTGTGTGGGTAGTGCTGGGTGGAGGTGGGCAAAGGGAGGAAAGTCAGGACAAGTGTAATAACATAATCAATAAAATATAGGAAAAAAAGAATTTAAAACATAACTTCATATATGAGAATTACTGTTCTCACCTTTTTCCCACCCCACACAAAAGTTTTTTTATTGACTCCTGAAAACAGTAAGGCTTTGTTGCCCATGACGTCTTAAATATTTTAGTAAAATCTATTCTCAAACTTGTTAGAAACCTAAACGTATTTTTCTTTCTATATAGTTTAACACAACTTCCTGTCTTTTAAGACTCATAAAAGCATGTATCTATGTTAGAGGTGACTAATTCATGGATACACTTAAGGAAGAAATAGGGACAGGGAGTACTCCTAAGAATAAAAATTCAAGGGACAGTGGCTTTGTTTTCATTGTGTTCTTTTTTCTAATAGCTGCATAGGGGAGCAGCTTCCATGGACAAAGGAGTGCAAGTCAAATATACCCACCTTGCCATTTGAATAGAAGATAGAAATCCATTAGAACACCTGCTCTCTTTCTCCTTCCTTTGCAGGAGAGAGAAAATGCAGAGCCTAAAGTGACAACATCTAGGTTTATTTTATCTTTTGCTAATTCTTGCAGACCTAGTTTTTATTTTAAAATTATAGTTGTCACTATAGATTACTTTCAACAACTTATAGCATAAATGAGACTTTTTTTAAGTAAAGCTTTAAGCAAATATTAATAAATGATTTTATCCAGTTAAAACAAAAAACAAAAACAAAAAAAACCCTGACCAGTGGTCAGTCAAACCCTTGGTTTTTGCTTGTCAAATTGTAGTTGTGAGTTCTTTGAGAGGAAGCATCTTGTACTCCTGATCTTTTATCCCAGCCCCAAACATTGTGGTTGGCAGGAAATCTTTGAATGAATTTGGTCTTGCCCCTTTCTCTTTTATTTAAGTTATGCAAATATAAAACCTATTGTACAACTCCAGGGAAGATCTAACTATGGTAGGACATTACCAGTTACCATTTGTCATGTTCTAACTTACTTTATTATGCAATTTACTAATGAACCCAAGTACCAGACCCTGGATTCCAACACAGGCAATTTGACTCCCAAGAGCCTTATATATTGTACCCTACCGGCACTACAGAGTGCCTTTTTGAGCCATTTATTTCTATTGGTTGTAATTACTTACATAGCATTTTCCTTTCTTTCCTCCTCAAATCGCTATACCAGGGATGCCATGAGTAATTGAGTTTTGGCAGTTTCATACTTCTGGCATATTTGTTTTGAATTTGGCTTAAGTCATCCGATAACAGATTTTGTGGCCTACTGCTTCTCTTTAAATTGCAC